ATCTCAAGTTGAGAGTCTTGGAAAGATTCAGCATCGGGAACGGAAGAAGGCTCAGCTTCTTCATCGGTGAAAAATGTCTCACCCACCGTGGTAGGAGATCCAACATCCGCATCCGAGGAATACTCATTGTCAGCATCTGTGGAAGGTTCCACTTCGGTGTCAGAAGATGATTGAATAGCTCCAATGGTGTAATAGGCATCGTCACTCGTGGAAGATTCGACGTAATTATCGGATAACGCATCTTGCAAATCGAAAGATTCAACATCTGCCATTGTAGAAATTTCAGCCTGGAAATCAGATTCAGCATCAGCAATTGTAGAAATTTCAGCCTCTGTGTCTGTTAAGGTTTCATTAATGGAGTCAAAGTCAGTTTCTGAAATGTTGGAAGATTCAACATCTACATTTGTGTATGCTTCAACTTGGATATCTATGGAAGACACATTGTCTAAGTTTGTTGAAAGATCATCTTGGACATCTAATGATTCAGCCTCAGAAGATAAGGATATTTCAAAATAAACTTCTGTAGCTTCAGTTTCTGCATGCGTGCTACTTTGGGTATCAAGATCTGTTGAGGGCTCAGCTTGGGTGTCGAATGTAGATTCTGATGCTGCATCTGATGAAGGATCGTCTTCTTCGTTTGTCGTAGTTACGTCAGCAGGAGTTGTAGATGATTCGGCAACATTTGAAGTATATTCGGTATCTACATCGGAAAAATAGAATTCAGTTTGAGCTTCTAAGGAAGTGTCCTCTGTACCTAAGGCAGACTCAGTCTCTTCGGAATAATATAAGTCAACATGCTCATTAGCTGACGATTCAAATTTGGTACCTGCTTCTACATTTGTTGAAGAGTCAACTTGATCATCTACCGAAGATCTATCATTTTCATCGGGGTAAGATTCAGTAGTTGCATCGGAGGTGGGTTCTGTTTCTTCAACTGTGGACCATTCGATACCTTCATTTGTAGACGGTCCACCTAGGGCTCCTAAAGTATTTTCAGTATTGTGTTTTGTCGAAGATACGTTATCTGTGTCAGTAGCATACCCAGCAACCTCATCAGACAATGATTCAGCAATGCCTTCGAAAGAAGATACAGGTTCTTCATTTGTGAAAGACTCAGTGTCAGCTTTTATCAAATTTTCAGATTGTTCAGACTGCTTAGACTCAGATTGTTCAGATTTCTCGTCAGATTGTTCCGCTTGCTCAGCTTGTTCTTCAGATTGTTCAGCCTGTTCTTCAGATTGTTCAGCTTGTTCAGCTTGTTCTTCAGATTGTTCTTCAGATTGTTCAGCCTGTTCTTCAGATTGTTCAGCTTGTTCGGATTGTTCTTCAGACTGTTCAGACTGTTCAGATTGTTCGGATTGTTCGGATTGTTCGGATTGTTCGGATTGTTGAGATTGTTCAGAGTGTTCTGCTTGTTCGGGTTGGTCTAGACCTTGTGCAAAAGAGCCTAACACCGTCAATTGCGTAATTTTCAGGCAATTATCATCAGGCATTTCCTTCGAAAATAAACCTGACGAGCAAGCATACAATGGTGGATCGACACCAAGAATATCACCTTCTTGATACATGGTCCAAATAAATGAATCTGGTGAACCTCCTGGAAGAAGGAAACCATTTGCATCTTCACCGATTATATCTCCATTGAGATATAAATTTGGATATTCGTGCGTAAACTCACTTGCATTTTCTTCGTAAGAAGTCAAAACACACGAGTTGGGATTGTGGCAATCAATATATTGGGTAATATTAGAAAAGTAAGTTAACTGGAAAGCGCTGGCTAATGATGCAAGAAGCAAGCTAGTTAGCAAGTCCGAGATTCTCATTCTTGATGTCTTTATTTGAATGAATCTAGTGGTTGCGTATGACAAAAAAAGGAAATAGTATTTCTGTCCAGGTGGTCAACTTAAGGGGGGTATAGCAGTCCTTTTATAAGTAAATAGTGGATACCCATCTCGGCGACGTTGTATCTCTATTCGTAGAATTCGTGTAATCGTTGCAGCCACTGGTAGGAAACTAATTATACTCTAAAGTTTATTCCCTTGTGATGTCGGCCCAGTTGTTATTTGTGCAGTATTATATTCCTTGGCAATTAATGGTTATGTAACCTCTTAAATGTATTTCCACAGGTAGTACGTTGAATTATCTGAAACAACTGTAGCAGAGGTTTTTTTTCGCAATAACTTTAGCTGCGAAATGGTCGTTTTCTTCTTTTTTCTGCTTCGTTTAGTGAGGTGCCGTTCATAGCTTTCTTTATTGATATGAGTAAAAAAACAGTTCTGTGGTAGAACATGGTGGCACGTGCCATGCGGGAGCTTCTTGGTGAGTTCCTGGTGGTAGCACATTTGGAAGTCAATAAGGATGGTTTGGTTGAGGGGTAAGGGAGGGGAGGATATAGGAGGGGAGTATGGGCCCGGGCTATAACAATGAGATTAAGATAATCATCAAGAATGGTGTCCCGAATCATTGTCCTCGGATATTAGATTGGATATCCGAAATTGTGCCTAAGAATGAGGGCCATTTTCCTGAAAGAATTAAGGTTTAATTCCAGAACGCGTTTTAGTTGCAATTTAGATAATGCACTTAGAGTTATTTCAAAAAGATAATCACCGAGAATTGTGTCCAGAATCATTGTCAATTCTAGTGGGTATCCGAAATTGTGCTTTCCTGAAAGAATTAAAGTTTAATTCCAGAAAGCGACATTTTAGTTTCAATTTATATAATGCACCTGGAGTTATTTCGAAAAGCACATTTGGCTATAAGTGTAGACGCAGTCTATGAGATGTAAGCGAAATTTAAGGGACGAGCAGTTATATATTTAATTTCGGAGATATTACAAATAAATACCTCTCCTATATGTGATGCATAGATAAAAGTAATTAGCTTAAACAAGTTCTATAATCTCAACTCCAACAAGGGTAGAACTCCACTCTATGTAACATTAATCCAAAATGCATGCTGACTTCTGCAAGTACGATTTTGCATTCCTATTACTTCAAGTCTCTAAACCAGCGTGTTAATTCAACCGAGAGGAGAACTACATTCACCCCACGAGCCAAAAGTCCTAAAGTCCACGGCATGCATAATTTCAGAATTCATCCTTACAGTAATAACATAAGCGTTAGATATTTGTCCTATCACCGCTAAGAAATTAACTACTTCTGCGAAACTTTTACAAGGTTTGGAGAACTGCAATATCTAGGGGTAATCGCAAGGTTTTACTAATCCCTTTTTTTAATTTTAGTTTGGCTCAAACCAGTTAATAATAACCACCAATTAGAGATCTCTAGATGGAAGAAACTGATCTTATTTATCCTAAATGAGTGTATACTATTGGAAATCAAATGAATGATGATTTAACTTCTAATTTAAGGTCTGACAAAATTTTCAGTGAAATCATGCAGATTTATTATCCCTTGTGCTTGAGATTACTAACGATTAGATAATTTTATAGGAAATGCTGCATAAGTACAGATCCAAGAAAAAAAATGTAAAGAAATAAGTAGCTACATGTGTACATGTTCTAACAACTAGGCTAAATTATGCAAAGCGCTTCGAGTCTCCTCTCTATTATAACCTTTTTTTTTCTTGTGTCTGTATATCGGTAACTAAGAAAAGATCTTCGGGAATTTTATAGATCTGTAGCATTTACAATCATCAGCGAATTGAAGGGGTGGTAGGTCAAACAAAGTCAACCTGTTTCTTTTATAGTGAAATATTTGGTATTCGTTGGATTCTTTTATTTTTCGCTACACTATGCAATTAGAGGTGGATAGATGGAAAGTCTACTCCTATTAGTTCTTGCAACTAAAGAATTTAAAATGGTTTTAAAATTATTAGTTATATTCTAAAATGGACCCTGGTAGTTTTGCTAAGAAGGATTGTCTAATGATCAGATGACATGACGCAATACAGAGTTGTAATTTTTTTTCCATTTTGTCTTATTAAGAGAATGGCGTACAAATATTGCTCTGTCTAATAGCCCTGTCCTTTCAAGAAATATTATTTTCATTGAGGTCTGTTGTTTCTTTCCGGTCGGTTAAAATCTTTTCCGACTGGAACTAAAATGTCCCTCGTCGGATTTCTCTGTTGGCTAGAAATACGATTTGATACATTATTCCAAGAATCCGTCTTTACCGATTAAGACCCCTGAATAATATAATAGACATTGCAAAAGTATACTCTCATTTTCAGTTGTTCGATATCTGTGATCGTGGGAAGTCGTTTCTGTATGTAGCTTTCACCGATAAAATCATATGCCCTATTAATTCACATCATTTACTATCCCATAAAGAGTTTGTAAGTCTGACGGTTCCTCCGGGCCATCATTCTGTCGTTGATATGTCTCTCATAGGAGAACGTTTTTGTGGTTGGGGAATCAATAGATGTAGTTGCTTGAGTCGTCCTGTGAGGATACCCTCGAACACTCTAAAGCAAAACTTTGAGTTTAACATGTCCAACAAATTACTAACCACCCGGTAATATCCTCTTAATATTCTCTCTCCAGGTACACAGAATGGAATAGTAGCGTAGCTATCTTTTTTAGGACTGGATATGTCAAAACCCCTGGCCGTCAAAGTGGGGTCAAGGTGGAAATACATGTGCGCAACTCATCCCCTGTTAACTTTGTCTTTGCCAAAAAAGTATTCCGATGGATCACAGAGGTACCAATTATCAAGTTAAGTAGAACGTACAAAGGGATTCAATATATTAAAGAACAAATTCTATACAATAAAGAAAGGCATTTAAACAAAAAGTACAAACCAAAACATAAAAGCTAAAATTCCAACTACGGTAAATCCTGGTCTGGTTCCCACTTCCGCATAATCTGATACACCTGCTACCACAGAAGGGTTAACTTCTCTGCCAACATCACCTTCACCATTGCTCCTACCAGTACTATCACTGGCATCATTATTGTTAACAGTGATAGTTTCAAAATAGAAGGTGCTCTGGATGACTCTAGTAATGACTTTTTCAATAAACTCTTCACAGACTTGTTCTTCAGATTTCGAGACGGCATTTGTCAAGGTATCATGAACCTCTTCAACCAGGGAATAATAAACTGTCTGAATTGTTGTGCATGTTTGGCAATCATTGTCATCTTTACATTCGGTAGTTTTTTCTTCTGTATTAGGTTCAGTTCTTGATGATTCTTCTGAAGAAGGTTCAGTTCTTGATGATTCTTCTGAAGTTGGTTCAGTTATCGATTCCTCTGAAGTAGGTTCAGTTGTTTCTGAAGTTGGTTCAGTTGTTGATTCCTCCCACGTTGGTTCAGTTGTTGATACTTCTGAAGTAGGTTCCGTAGTTGATTCTGATGGTTCGGTTATCACTTCTGAGGGTCCAGTTGTATCTTCTGAAGGTTCGGTCGTCTCCTCTTCGGAGGGTTCAGTGGTTTCATCTGAGGATTCGGTAGTTTTATCTGAAGGTTCGGTAGCTTCGTCTGAGGGTTCTGTTGTTTCTTCTGATTGTTCGGTTGTCTCTTCTGAAGGTTCGATAGTTTCATCTGAGAGTTCCATTGTCTCTTCTGAAGGTTCCGTTGTCTCTTCTGAAGGTTCGGTAGTTTCATCTGATGGTTCAGTTGTCTCTTCTGAAGGCTCGGTAGTTTCATCTGAAGGTTCGATAGTTTCATCTGAGGGTTCGGTAGTTTCATCTGAGGGTTCGGTAGTTTCATCTGAGGGTTCGGTTGTTTCATCTGAGGGTTCAGTAGTTTCATCTGAGGGTTCGGTTGTTTCTTCTGATTGTTCGGTTGTCTCTTCTGAAGGTTCGGTAGTTTCATCTGAGCGTTCCGTTGTCTCTTCTGAAGGTTCCGTTGTCTCTTCTGAAGGTTCGGTAGTTTCATCTGATGGTTCAGTTGTCTCTTCTGGGGGCTCTGTTGTTTCTTCTGAAGGAACAAGTGGCACGTAGCCTAGCACATTGAATTCTTTAACAAGTTCGCAGTTATTGTTTTGAACTGAAAATAAACGATAGGAGCAACGATATATTGGTGGATCTACTTCAAGAATATCACCTTCGGGAGACATAGTCCAAGTGAATGAACCGAATTCACCTCCAGGAGTAATATAATTGTATTGACCTACACCAATTATTTTTCCATCGAGCAATAAGTTTGGATATTCGTATGTGAATTCATCTGCCATATTTATGTTGTTGGTCAATATGCATGAATTGGGTAAAATGGGGCACTCAATATACTGAGTGGCATGATAAAAGAATGTCAACTTGAAGGTGGTAGCGAGTGACGCGAGAGTCAATATAGCTACCAATTCTGAGATTCTCATTTTTGGTCGAATAGAAATTAAACAGGTTATTCTGGCTAACGAAAGAAATATTCTTCTTTCTTCGAAGAAACAAATTAGGGAGCAAATCATCCCTTTATAAGGAAAGGAATGGTGGGACGATAATTTACAAACCTCATGCACTCTCAGAATAAGTTTATTCAAAACCTTTTTAAATTTAGGAAATCGTACTCTACTGCTCAGATCTATTTTTTGTTAAAGACAAAGAAACTCAATATATACACTACAGTTGAGACTTGAGTATTTCAAATTGTGACTGGGGTTAAAAGGGGTCCTTGATTTATCTCTATATTAGTAGGGCCCTACAGATGGGGTCAATGTAGTGGATTATCGGAAAATTTTGATATTATCCGGAATAGTACAGTTTTTCGCACTTAAGTTTTGATTGCAAAATCGATTCAACAGGTGCTTTTTTTTGATACTGCAAATTTATGTATCACAACTCCTCAGTTTTAAGCGTCTTCATGTGCGAGGAAAGTTGAGGTTATTTGCTATAAATGAATGGGGTAGGACTGGGCTATATGTATTGGGTATCAATAGAATACTCAGTTAAATGTCTTGAATCCCTGAAAAGAATAACTACCAGGCGGAAACTTAACGTCTACTGGTGGTCAAAATAAAATTGGGAAATTGGGAAATCTTATTTTGAGTTTTACTAACCACTCAAAAATGAAAGAATGGTCACGTAAGGGTAAGAAGTTTATGAGATTGTGGGTGCCAAGAGATTACTTGAGTGGAGCAGCAAGAATAAACTTCCTCGAATGATCAGATTTGGCAGGCTCACATATGGATCCAAAAGAATTAACTATCATGATTTTTTTTAAGCTATTAGATTGCTTGCATGTTTTATTAACAAGTAGGGAAACTAACGATCAGATAATGCACGACCATAGCAATAAATCGCCAGGAGCTCTGGGACATATTTCAAGGCAATCTCTAAGTTAGTTCCAACGTCAGCATGATTGTAATTAAGTCAACCGGGGGAGACGTGTTGGATCGGTTAAATAAAGGTCACGTAAGGGTAAGAAGTTTATGAGATTGTGGGTGCCAAGAGATTACTTGAGTGGAGCAGCAAGAATAAACTTCCTCGAATGATCAGATTTGGCAGGCTCACATATGGATCCAAAAGAATTAACTATCATGATTTTTTTTAAGCTATTAGATTGCTTGCATGTTTTATTAACAAGTAGGGAAACTAACGATTAGATAATGCACGACCATAGCAATAAATCGCCAGGAGCTCTAGGACATATTTCAATGCAATCTCTAAGTTAGTTCCAACGTCAGCATGATTGTAATTATGTCAACCGCAGGAGACATGCTGAATCTGTTAAAGTTGACATTCATCGCCAAAGCATTGGGATGAATCAGCAAAAGTTTTTTTGTTATTCTTTTATGTAAGAGAACATAAGTCTGAAAGTTTATCTGATCAAGGATTCCTCAAATTGAGATGGACTTCAAGGTTTTCCCTGAAATAGTTTTCCCAAAAATAGGCTTTAAGGAATTTATTCAATGGGATAAAATACCCCTTAAACAATTTAAAGGACATTTTGTTTTTCTATGAATTTAGGCCGAGGATTTTCTATAATTTATTTACCAGCTAAACCATTACTAGCTATCCAAATTATGATTATTGAGAATTGCTATTGATGCTTGGCGAATCTCTTGAAAGTAGAAGGATTTGCATTCTTTTTTAAATATTGTTTTGTTTAGAGGATATTGTAGAAAACTTACTTTAAACCTAATTATTAATTTTAGTATACATTATTTAGTTATATATAAGAGTTCAAAATAAAGCGCATAGCTGTACATCCTATCTCAGCTAGCCAGACACTAGTGAGATTATTATAATGAAGCTTAACTCACTAGTAGGGAATTAAAATAGAAAATTAAAAGCTTTCACCATTGGTTAAACTTCATGGAAAACAATAACCAGGCAATATTTGACAGGTGTGTACTGTATTTTCTTAATGAGGATTTCTTGAAATGGTAACCCTCTGTAGTGTTCCAAGAGGGCCTGGGAAGGTCCTCTTTTTACCATCAATTTCTCGATTTGACTTGTTGAATATGGGTATAGCTTAGATAGGATTTGCTCAGGTTCAAGATATCCCAAATATACAACAAAATGCCACATATTTCTCCTTTGTTGAATATTTCATATATGATAACGAAAGATTATATAGTCTGTATCTAGCAGATCTAAGTACGAAAATTCATTGTTTGTTGTGCATAAATCCAATTGGCAGCAAGAAATTTTGCAGCAAATTCGAACAAATTACATACCGCGAAACAGGTTTTTCTTCTCAACAAAAAAATGATACAAAGATCCTTTAACTACGTTGTCCATAATCCTAATTTAGTTGTAAAGCGCTAGGAATTGATTTTAGTTGTTCTAAGCCCGCGTGAACTTCTGGAGGTTCAATCCTGGAATAATTGTAAGACCTGAGATCTGGTGGTGGGGCGGTGGTGGTGTGTATAATATTATTTAATAAAAGAATAAAAATGCAACTGTTACAATGGCGAGAAAGAAAAAACGTTTTTTTTCCTCTCGCCTTATTAGAGAAAATTATTTTTTAACGGTTGTGGCCAACTTCTTCTTCTTCCGGCTTCTCATCTCATGGCTCACGGCACTTGCAGTCATTTATTTCTTAATCCCACACTTTTTTCATTTAATTAATTTAGCCAGTCAAATTAATTGTTAAAATTCATGAGAACTTTACAACTGATCTAAAAATAACTCATATCTAATACTTCATATCCCATTCGTTTCCTTTGTATCAATAACGTTTTAATGACAAGGACATATTTCCACCACGAAATGTCACCACCGCAAGAACAACCTTCCACTCCTTCTACACCTCCACAACCACCACCTCCTATAGCTAATGAAGATGAACTTTTGAATAATATCTTACCTTCTTATCACATGTTTCAATCTACAATATCTAAAAACTTAATTCCTACTAATGAAAATTATCGAATAGATCCCCCGTTATATGAAATGACTCCAATAAACTCGGCAACTACATCATTGTTAAATTCACGAGTACAATCACCAATAGATAGTCTACTAAATTCATATAATCCTATGCATCAGGATGATCATATGCAAGAAGAACAAACGGATTATAATCAACAAAGTGACGATTTATGGAAGAATACTATATTGGCAAACGTAGATAAATTACCCAATTTAACTAATTCAAAGGGATGTATTTCGGAACATTTAGATATAAATATTGTATTTACTGAAAAAGTAGGTCAAAAGGGAGTTGAGCCCACTATTATTGATCCATCAACTCGAGAATTCATTCAAGGAGATTATATTCACGGATATGTCACATTTTTAAATAAATCTAATCAACCAGTTCCATTCGATATGGTATATGTGGTATTTGAAGGAACTTTGACTATCTTAGATTCCACGGTTAGTGGCTTATTAGATCTTGAAAAACCAGCTACTAGATTCAAGTTTTTAAATATGTTGGATTTATTTGCCAGTTGGTCTTATGCCAATATCGATAGACTAATTACTGACAATGGAGATCCTCATGATTGGTGTGATGGAGAAACTGATCCTTATGATAATACATTGTTAGCTATTGATGTGAAACGATTATTTCAGCCTAATGTAACTTATAAACGATTTTTCACATTTAGAATCCCAGAAAAATTGTTAGATAATACTTGTGAAGAACATTGTTTGCCTTTACATTGCGAAATACCGCCTACATTGGGTATTGACCGTATTACTACACCTCCTTCGGTGATGTTGGCTAATAAAGAGAATTTAATTCGTGATTTGGCGTCGATTGATAGTAGTATTAGCTATAGTGTTGATGCAAGAATTATTGGGAAGGCTAGTGATTACAAGTATCCCGTGGAAAAGGATCAATATGTCGTATCTAAATTGGCAAGTTGTCCAATTAGAGTAATACCGTTGCCAAATTTAGAAAATACTTATCTTGAAAAAGAATTAGCAGTTGAGAGACAAGTTTATTTTAAAGCATTCTTGGATACAATTATAAATAAGATTGAATATGGTCATGAATTATTGAATCAACCTGTTGCTCTACGTTCTGGGAACTTGTTAACTTCTACGATGAGTAATGAAATAAATAATGATGGTAATAAATTGAGGCAGTTATATGATGTAGCTGGCAGTACTATCACTAAGACTCTACATCGACATAATCATAAGCCAGGCAATAGCGACGATGATGATGTTTATCAATATTTAGCGTGTTTAAAAAAGAAAACTATAACAGGAAATACAAAACATTTGGGAATAATTTCATTATCGTCTATAAAGAATAATTATTATATAAATTATACACCACCTGCCCGATTTTCCAAAGGCAAACGAGTCATCAATACTGAAATCAATATCCCAATTGAATTGACTTACTTTATTGAAAATTTAACAACGTCGAAGCCACACCTTCCTGAAATCAAAGCCATAGATGTTGAAATCGTTTGTCTTACAATTAGATCAAAAAGGCATCCAATCCCTATCGAATTCACACCCGATATGTTCTTCCCTGAAAGACAAATTGAATCGAAGAATTCCACTACTGGAGACAATCAACCTCCTAATTTCGATGCGATCATAATTAAAGAATTCCAAAAAAATTATTTAACTGAATTTCATAGATTGATCAAAGAATTGAGTAATGATGTGATTAGAATCGAGACGAAATTATATCGAGATGTTAAGAGTCTTGCTTCTTTAAAGACGAAATATATCAATCTTCCTGTATCCAATCTTGTCTTCAAGACAACTACTGAAGGTGGAGGAATTGGCTCACATACGAATATCAAAACCGTACCTTGGAAATTGGAAACTTCTTCATCTACTGCTGGTACTGGCAGTAATGAGAATTCACATGCCTTATATACCAAAAAATTTACTATAAATTTAGATCTTAATAATTGTAGTCTCAAAGGAATTGAATCTACATGTCATGGCTTGGATCAGATAGTTTTGGTGCCTAGTTTTCAATCTTGTTTGATTAGTAGGGTGTATTATCTAAAAGTTTGCGTAAAGATGATTCATGGGGAGAATTTGATTATTCATGTTCCTTTAACTATTCAACGATAAAAATAGAGCATTTATATAGAAAAAGTATCTAATTAATTAATTAATAGCATTAACCTATGGGGTAAAATAAGATTGCAAATTGTATTTCTGTCATATAAAAGGCAATCGTAAGTTTTAAGGGAGAATGACGTGGTAACGCTGCCCTGGTGCTGCCATTCTGTCAAAATACTTAAAATCATCAGACGATGACTATTTTTATTTTTATTTTTTTTCTGGGTGTTTCGCATTTTACGTCAGATATTTTTTTTTTCTCGTTTTGTCCAACCAACTTTTGGCTCAGTCCCAGCCCCCGCCGCCATTCTAGAAAAAAAGCAGCCATCAATTAATCTGGCTCAGTTTATCACTAAAAGGTAACTACTTTAGAGCAAGAGTACACACATACTTCTAAAAAATCGACGGAATGGAAGATCGGAATAAACTAAATTTAAGATTGTCATCACTTTCACTACGGCGCAATGGCTCAACATCTTCCAATAATAATGATCAAGATCCAAAAGAATTAATTAACATCTTACCATCGTATCAGATGTATCGATCAACCATTAAGAAGAACTTAACTCCAACAACTGAAGACTTACGTACTGCCCCACCGATGTATGAATTGACACCCCTTTCATCTTGTAATTCTTCAATACATGAAGATTACTTTGGTTCAATTGCTGACTCACTTGCTAATTCCCATGCTAATTCGCTTGCCAATTCACCTGTTTTAGCCCCGCAACAACCAGATGATGACATTGACGCTGATACATTATTGGAAAATTCACATAAATTAAAACGTCTAAGTTCTACTAATAAGGAAATATCACAATCATTAAGTATAAATGTCTATCTTACTGAATGTATTGGGAAAATAGGTGAACCTTATAAGATCATCGATCCTTTATCATTAGAACTAAAGCAAGGACAATATATATATGGATTTGTCAAGATCACTAATAAAACAACCAAAGACATACCGTTTGATCTGTTTTCTGTTCAATTAGAAGGAACTTCAGTATTTGGAAAACATCAAAAGACTTTAACTGAGCCTCCCTATCATATTGATCGATTCTTGACTATGTTTGATTTTCATGCCAGTTGGAATGATGCCTTTTTGGACAGATTGGTTACTGATCATAATGACCCATTCGGCTATACAGTACTTAAAGATCCCATTGATAATACTGAAGTGCAATTGAATGTTCACAAAGTGTTTAAACCAAATACTTCATATAAGAAATTTTTTACTTTTAAAATGCCAGAGAAGTTATTGGATAGTGCATGTAATCATAGTTTGATTCAACATTTACAATTGCCACCAACTCTAGGAGTAAGTAAACATGAAGTCATAACGTCATTACGACAAAAGTGGAAAAGCAGACCAGCTCCTGATTCAAAACAACATCAACATCAAGAACATGATGAAGGTCATAAGTATAAGTATGCTTCTTTGACTCAAGATTTTGCTATTGCTGATACTTCGATAAGTTATTGCGTAAGTGCCAGGATTATAGGAAGAGCTTCGGGATATAGCGATCTAGTTGGTAGTACTAATGCATTAACTAAACAAAATCCAGATGAGTTTGTGGTTGCAAATGAAGATTATACTTATTTGAGAGTTATACCTGTTACAAAACCCTTATTTGAATTAAATCGATCAATGATCCATCAAGAGGCTAGATTGTTATATACGAATATGTTACTTAAGATTCAAGAGGCCATTGAATTAGGGAAAGATATTTTGCAAACCACTCCCCAGGAAGAACGAACGAATTCTCCATCACCACCTCCACCACAATTACCTGACCTTCAACCTACTTCTAGTAACGTTGAAATGGCAAAAATGCAACAATCATATTATTCAAAAGTAAATCAACGTGAAGATCAAACTGGTTCTGCACTGAAGCGACCCCTGGATTTATATGAAGTATTTGCTCCATTTAAGAAAAAATCAGTATTTGGGAAAACTTCCAAATTAATTGGATTAATTGCAATTTCCACTCCGAGAAAGGAATATAAAATAGACTATATCCCGCATATAAAGAAATCTAACAAACCCATAAACACCAAGATTTCAATTCCTATAGATATATCATTCATATTTGCCGAAAGTCAAACCAGTAGTGCATCAGCTTCAACTACATTACCCGATTTCAAATCCGTTTCGGCCGAAGTCGTAGGCATAACTATTAAATCCAAACGAATTCCTATCCCTTTGGTAATCCATTCAGAAATGCTTTTTGAGAATAAAAACACCAATGGAGACAATTTCGATGTTTTGATTATACGAAAATTTCAAAAATTATCCCTTGAATTAGCAAAACTTCTTCGTGACCTTGGACAACTGAGACTAGGGGTAGATAAACAATTAATCCGGGATATGAAATGCTTATCAAACCTTTCATCAAAATATACAAATTTAAAATGTAAACAAATCTCAATTGATGATGGTAATGGTACAGATACTCATAAGAATCTTGCATCTATTGGCTGGATTAAAGAAAAAGTTTCCCACGATCAAATAAAGTTTAGTAAGAAGATCAATGTGGATCTTGATTTATCTGATTTGAGTATTAAGCCAGCTCCAAATACAACTTTGGGTGAATTTTGTTTGATTCCAGATTTTCAAACTTGTTTAATGGCAAGAGTGTACTATCTTAATCTTGATTTTAAATTGAATAATATGGAGAAGATAGCACTCAAAGTTCCTTTGATTATTCAAAGGTCGTAAGTAACTAAATAGATCAACAGCCTATAAATTATAAATACATAAGCATAGAATAGATTTGTATACTATTCGGAATTGCGCTACCATTTCTAAAGAGTGATTATCGTGTGACAAACGCGTGATTTATTTGGCGCGGCTCAATTTGAACTTTTGGTTGCAAATAAAATGTGGTCAAAATTGTATAATTATACCATCGCAAAGAATATATTGATTTGGTCGTTATATCAAAAAGAGGGTGTTAAAGACTTCTGAGTAGATTCTGATGATTCGTAACTGTAACTGGACTATTTTAAAGATTGTTTAATTCTGACTATTTTGGTCAAAAATTCACCGATAATTCTTTTCCTGGAGGAAACTTGAGAGAAGAAATGGCGCAACACAACCAACCTAAAGAGACTTGGAACTATGGAAAATAGAGAGCGGCCACTTACTAGAGAAACCAAAACGGCATGGAATATCAGATTCACTCATAAAAGGATTATCCCATAGAGTATGTGATTTTTTGCAATTTATAGTACAAACGATCAATAGTCACTTTGTAGCAATTTCGCACCTTGAAAAAATCATCGCAAAAAAATAAAAAATAAATCTTAATTATAAAATTTTTATTAAACTTCGTTTATCATCATTATTGATCTTTCTAGATTTCCACTACCCATGTCTGTAGAAACACCACCACAACCACATCCACAAGAAGAACAGGTAGATAATACCGACGAACAATTAGATAATACCGACGAACAATTAGATCACCTAATTTCAGAATGGGATAGAAGAAGATATGTTCCCAAACCAGGAGAACCTGCACTCCCACCTCAAATCTCCCAATTCGCCAACAAGACCACTGACGAAGTAATGAAGGAATTAAATAGATTGCCATTCTTCATGACTCAGTTGGATGAAACTGATGGTGAAGGCGGAGAGAATGCAAATCTTGAAGCTCTTAAATCGTTGGCATATGAGGGTGAGCCAGATGAAATTGCTACTAATTTTAAGAATCAGGGTAATGAATGTTATAAATTCAAGCAATATAAACATGCTATAGAATACTACACTAAAGGTTTGGATGTTGATTGTGGGGTTGATAAGATTAATTCTGCGTTATATTTGAATCGAGCTGCTTGTAATTTGGAATTACATAATTATAGAAGATGTATTGAAGATTGTAAGAAATGTTTAGGGATTGATGAGAAGAATATCAAGGCTTGTTTTAGATCAGGGAAGGCATTTTTCTTGATTGATAGGTTTGATGAAGCAATTGGAGTTATAGAATATGGATTAACCATCGATGCAAACAATAAAGATCTTTTGAATTTATTACAACAAGTCAAAACCAAACAACAAAAACTTGAAGAAATCAGAATCAAGAAAGAAAGAGAAGAAGAAGAAGCAAGAATGAAACAAGAAATATTAGAAAATTCAATTAAATTAAGACATTTTGAAATCATCAAAACTTCAAACCCTGCAGAATCCTTAAAATCTTCAAAAATACGATTGGAAGATCCAAAAGATTATGAGTCGCAATTAATCTTCTCCGCGATGATTTTATACCCAACCACAGATGAATTCGATTTCATAGACGAAATAAGTGAATTAACCACCCCCTTGGAGATTTTGGAAATGGTTTTGAATAGACCTAGAGAATGGTTTGAAGATCCAAAACATAAGGATTTCTCAGTTAAGAAATTAGAATGTTTTATGGAAACTGAATCAGGTGGATTAATTAAGGTTGGTAAAAAAATTGAAATCAATAATGCTTTGATGAATGATAAATCAAAAGCTCCATTGTTTGATAATGCACTTAGACTTTATGTGGTGCCTAAACCAGATGTTCCAGATTGGTTGTCACAATGGAATAAACAAGCCGCATTGGCTGCACGTAAATAGATCTACATACCTTCCTCTATATTAATACTTTTAATTAACCTTGTAATAATAATACCCAAATATATACTCTATATAATATTTCCCTTTGATGCTAACTATGACGCTTAAATAATGATGGTTAAATACCATGGATAACCCAACCCATCCCTTCTCAAACACGCACACATCTCACCCCCTATGTTCATTCAATCTATTAATTCGATAATTATTCCGAAACTCACGGTAAATCCCCTCAACACTACGTATGCTTGTTACTCCATTTCCGCAGATCCCGCAGGTTCTTGAATATAGCAACCAAATCCAACACTGGCGGACCTTTATCAAACACAAGCCCAGGATCCATTCTCCCATTCACATTCTCCATCAACCTCTGCAATTCCGGTGACCTCGCCCATGGTTTTAAAATATTTCGATCTCGATTAGGAGAATGTTCATCGTCAGATAGGACTTCTGGTAGATTTTCCGGAGTGACTTTCTTGCCTGGAGGAGTGGAGACTAATATAGTACTCCGGGATCTCGGCTTGGCCCTGATTGGTGATATCGCAGGTGGTGTTGGATGATTGACTTTTCTTCGTTTGGCGGGATTGGTTTCAGAATTGAAGATTCCCCTGGCTGCGTCGGGAAGAGGCACGGCATTTCCTGTTTTGGTTCGCATTGGTTTATGTAATGATGGTGCTGGTGGTAATACTGCCTCGAGCGGTCTTCTAATGGTTGTCAGTTTCAGTGCGATTGTAGCAATATGCAGCGCCGATGCTGATGAGGATGGTGCTGAGGCTGTGGCGTGTTCTCTCGACATTGCATGTGATGAAGTAATCCGCAGGTCTTTATTTCCAACTCTCTCGATCGAGGATACGGATGTATGCCCCGTCCTAACAATTTGATTCTCCGATACATGTTCTGATTTCCGCTTTATTCCATACTGATGCTGATCCACAGCAAGTTTGACTCTCTCACCAGCTCTTGGTTGATGTTCCATAATTGACTTCTTCTTTAATGTAGGAATCGCCTTAAGTTCTAACCTCAATGGCGGTGGTGGCGGTGGTACAACCTTCTTAACCTTCCCCAAATCTCCTTCATTTCCAGCATTTTCCCAATCTGCTCGATTTTTTATAGGTGACGGATTCTTTACTTTGTGTCTATTGATCCATTGCGGATTATTGGCATTTAATGTAGTCGTTAAGAATCGATTTCTTGTAGTAGTGGTCACTTCTGAACCTTTTACTGATTTCGGTTTGGTTATTTTTCTGATTGGACTTGTTCTATTCAATCGGTCAAGCATCTCCGGCAGCAATGTTCTTGCAGTTGTGGTTGTGCGTAGTGGTGATTTTCGTGATTTGATTGGAGATTTGGCAGTGAACGATGGTGGGAGCTTAACTGGAGATAATGCACGGAGTCTATCTACTGTGCTCCATATTGCTTCTGGCGATTGTATTTTCCATTTAGGGGACGCCGGGCTGGTGTCTGGCTTTAAAATTGGCGATCTGTGTTCGGAGACACTTGTTTCTAGATTTAATGAAGGGGATTTGTTTTCGGAGAAAGTAGTTTCTTTTCTCCATTGTGGTGATTTGGCCCCATCCCAAAACTTGATTGCCAGGTGTTCCTCTTTCATGTTTTCATCATCTGTGGAAAAATGAAGAATTCTTTCTCTCTTTTTTGGAATTTCCTCCTTATCATCTGCGTGTTTGTTCACCAGACCATTCGGTACATTTTTCTCTGGCGTTGTGTCATCTTTTATTCCAGCTTCCGCTACAGGATCTGCAGGCAAGTTGCTAAGTTTCTCGGGAGACTGAGCTGCCGCTTCTCTTTGAGTAAAAGGAATCCATGGAATCTTTGGTTCCGAACTACTACTACTATAGGTATTGAAAGATAACTTAACCGGAGAAATCTTAAATCTATCCCGAATTTCAAATCTATTATTTGTAGTTGCAGCTCTTTCTTCAAAACTAAATTCTCTACTTGATGCCATATCCAACTTTTCCATAACTCTCAAAGCATTTGATTTTACTTTATTGACCTTTTGGACAGCCGATTTAGGAACTAATGGTTCTCTAGTAGGAAGTGAGATAAAACTTCTGGGTGTTTTCAATATTTGAGATTTTTCTTTTTCACTATTAGATGAATATGGAGCATCACTCTTTTTGGATATGTAGGATGTCTGACCAATCAGCTTTTCTTCTTCTTCTGGTTCATCAAACTTTATTGGGTCAAATGTTGAGATAGCAGTACTTTTCCTTATCCCTCTTTTGATAGCTAAGAATGAATCATCTGAACCTATTGAATCTCTCCTTTGTTCTGCCTCGACCTCTAGTATACTGACAATTTTGTCTGATTTTGGATGACTTATTGCATTATGTTGATCTTCTACTTGAACTTGAGCACTTTTCACAGGTGACGTAATTCTCCTTACTGTGGGACTTGATTTAACACTTGTAAATGCTGTATCAATCAGGACCTTTTGTTGTTGTTGTTGTTGCTGCTCTCGCACTTGTTGTTGTTGCTCTCGCACTTGTTGTTGTTGCTCTCGCACTTGTTGTTGTTGCTCTCGCACTTGTTGTTGTTGCTTTATTCTTGGATGAAAACCAAATCTGGTGGGTGAAGTTGATTTTGACGACGGTTGAGGTTTAGCAATTGAAGGCGAACGTCGTAACAATTCACTTGTTCTAATAGTAGTAGTTGGAGTGGGTATCAATTTATTAGTATCAACTCGATGTTTCAATACATTATTCATGAATATATTTAGGGAATCCAAATGATTAACGGTATCATAATGATGATCTTCAGTGGGCGTAAGAATTGCTAAGAAATTCAGATATGATTCATTTAATACCCATTGCGTTCCTCCTGGTACAGATATTTCCTTATTCTTCTTATTCTTCCTGACTGCATTGGCAGCCCAAAGAGAAGAAGTCGACATTTGTCCTTCTTTCTTTTTCGAAGTGATTGTTATTTATGTTTGAAGATCGAATTGTAAATAAAAGTTTTTGTTTACAAATCAAGCAATGAAGCAACGCGTTATTCAAAGGCAGCGCTGCCATTTGATAGAGTCCGGGTAACCACCCTTTCAATTAGATGAAGCAAGATATATAAGCTGGATAGTATAGCAAATAACTTCTATCAATGAGAACCTTTTAAGAATGTAAGCAATGGGTACTAAAAAACATGCCATAGACACTCAATTGTCAACTGTAGAAGTGGAGCTTAGTTTTTTGAGTGACATCATTTTTTTAGTGTTGTAATCTGAAGGCAAAATACGAAGATCAAAAAATATAGTGCAGTGAGACACGAGGGGCCATTTCCTGGGGATCTATTTATATTTCTATTTATAATTACAATTAGAGTACATTTTATACAGGGTTTTAGATATAAACATATATAGCAAAGTAAAGGAATAACGATGATACATTATGATATGTTTATGAAGAGAGAAGAAGGAGATTTAGAACGTTGTTCAATCTATGATGGAGCATCAACCGTTAATCTAGTATTTCTGATTCTAATCTCCTTTGGGATTATATTAAGTTATGTACCACAATATATTAGAATACATCGTAAGAGAACATCTGAAGGTTTATCAACTAATTTCTTATTGTTAGGTTCATGTTCTTCCATTTTTACATTGACTAATATCATTTTAATTAGTTCAATTGCTAGACATTGTTGTTCTATTGGTGCTTTAGATTCATTCAATTGTTTCAATTCCCAATTAAATCTTATTCAAATTGGTATCCAATGTACTTGTGCTATATTAATCCTTGTATTAGTATTGTTATGGACTAGAGATTCAATTAAACAAGATAAACATGAATATCATAGAATTGTACAAGTAGGGAAATTAGTTGCCCTTCATGGAGCTGTATCATTATTACAAGTTATTATTGGTTTATCTTCAAATAAAACTATATTGTACACCATTGCCAATACCAATGGATTATTATCTACTTTATTAACAGTTATCAAATATGTACCTCAGATTTATACTACTTATCAATTAAAACATCCAGGTACTTTATCTATTGGGATGATGTGTATTCAAACACCAGGTGGATTCATTTTTACAGCTACATTATTCTTCACTAAAGGGTCACATTGGAGTTCATGGGTTTCATATTTAGTAGCGGCTTCCCTTCAAGGTTTCTTATTAACACTTTCTATTTATTATGAATATTTTAAGGATGGTGGTCATGGACACGCCGAAGAATTAGAAAGAGAAGCTATTGAAAGAATTATTAATGAGAATCTTCATGAGCAATTAGAACATCCAGAACAACTGGAATTAAGAGATGAAGAAGGAAGTCCTCTTCTTTCCGATTAACGCCAGTACCTCCATTGTGTAGAGAAGTAAAGTTCTTTTTATAGTAAGTACCTTTTTAGTAAACGATTCCTAATGATATTAATCCAAAATTAGATTACATAATCAATGGGGGTAACACTAAAAGCCGAGTCAAAACCCGTGCCATGTTTCCTCCACAGTAACATCCAAACATCAATACATTACCCAACATCTACAATTTCTTGCGCATTTCTTCTCACCAAACAAACGAAAGGAAGAGAAAAAACCCACCAATGGAAAAAAATTTTCAACGTTTTGTTTAAACTTGGACTTCCTTTCTTTCCGTAACAACATTCTGGTGAATTTTCAACAATGAGTATTGCTGTCACCTTACGTGCTGCTCGTCCAGCTTTCTTTCTTAAGAATGCCTTACGTTCTGTTCGTCCTACTTTAACTAGATCTTACGCAACTTTTGTTCGTTCTAAACCTCATGTTAATGTTGGTACTATTGGTCATGTCGATCATGGTAAAACCACTTTAACTGCTGCCATTACCAAAGTTTTATCTGAAAAAGGTGGTGCCAATTTCTTAGATTATGGTTCCATTGATAGAGCTCCAGAAGAAAGAGCTAGAGGTATTACCATCTCTACTGCTCATGTTGAATATGAAACTGAAAAGAGACATTATTCTCACTGTGACTGTCCAGGTCACTCTGATTATATTAAGAATATGATTACTGGTGCCGCCCAAATGGATGGTGCTATCATTGTTGTTGCTGCTACTGATGGTCAAATGCCTCAAACCAGAGAACATTTATTATTAGCTAGACAAGTTGGTATTCAACGTGTTGTTGTTTTTGTTAACAAGATTGATACCATTGATGACCCAGAAATGTTAGAATTAGTTGAAATGGAAATGAGAGAAGTCTTATCTGCTTATGGTTTCGATGGTGATAACACTCCAGTTATTATGGGTTCTGCTTTATGTGCTTTAGAAGGTAAACAACCAGAAATCGGTTCCGAAGCTATCATGAAATTATTAGATGCTGTTGATGAATATATCCCAACCCCAACTCGTGACCTTGAACAACCATTCTTATTACCTGTTGAAGATGTCTTCTCTATCTCTGGTAGAGGTACTGTTGTTACCGGTAGAGTCGAAAGAGGTGTCTTAAAGAAGGGTGAAGAAGTTGAAGTTGTTGGTTCTGGTAAGCCATACAAGGTTACCGTTACTGGTATTGAAATGTTCAAGAAGGAATTAGACTCCGCTATGGCTGGTGACAACTGTGGTGTCTTATTAAGAGGTGTCAAGAGAGATGAAATTAACAGAGGTATGGTTTTAGCTAAGCCAGGTACTGCCAAGGCCTCATCTAAGTTCTTATGTTCCTTATATGTCTTAACTACCGAAGAAGGTGGTCGTCATTCTCCATTTGGTGAAAACTATAAGCCACAAGCTTTCTTCAGAACCACTGATGTTACTTGTTCTTTCCAATTCCCAGAAGGTGAAGGTGTTGACCATTCTGCTATGGTTATGCCAGGTGACAATGTTGAAATGGTTGGTGAATTAATCAAGCCAACTCCAATTGAACTTAACCAACGTTTCAACATCAGAGAAGGTGGTAAGACTGTTGGTACTGGTTTAGTTACCAGAATCATTGAATAAGCGGGTTAGACCTAGAAATATTCTATATATAGTGATTCTTTGAATGATTTTACGTAAAGTAGATCATTTTCTCTGTACATAGTCGAAGAATACTTATGAAGTTGTGTTTTGATTTAAACTGTGTAATATCTACAATGAAGACGTCTCTTCTTAAAGATCAATATCTCATAATCTCTATAATAATTTTGGACCTTTGTTTCCATTCCTTCTTGTTATGGGTTGACACAGTTTGTTTGGAGGTCGCAAAAAAAAAACCTCAATAAAAACAAACCTTTACATAACAGAAGTAGAAAAGCCTATCAGAGACCAATAGATGGATAAACAATATGTCATCCAAGACAAATGACTTATTGACATTTCCAATCATCAATCTTCAGAATAAAATCAAATATCCAAATCCATTTGATATCAATGAATCATATACCATTAAATTATTCAACAAAAATCGACAATTATTAATTGCAACACGAAAAGTAGTTATCCTTCAAGGATCTCAAATATCAAAAATCTTAACATATGACGAAGATATTGTTACTGCAACATATACCCATTTCATTCATAATACTACAGCTGTACCTAGTGAGGTCCTAGCCGTTTGTCTAAAACGATCAACCCATATTTATTATCCTGATGGAAGATCATACATTGTAAGTTTACCATTTATTCTAAATAATGCCTTACCATTTGAATCAGGATTAGTTCTAGAAAGAGATCACAAACAACCCATAATATCAAATAATGGAACCTTATTACAATCACAATTGAATTCAGCACCAATACTCACATTAGTGGATCCAATTGATGATTTCAGGATCGTGTCCACGAATTCAACCTTAGTCATTTCTCAAAATGAACAATTGATGACATTTCCCAGGAAAGATGTACATAAAAATGCAAGCTTGTGTACTACTTTTAATTCCCTGGATGGAAGTATTAATGTCTATCATGTTAGAACACCTTCCCGAAATGTGGTTAGGTTTGGGAATCAGAGTCAGAAGGTCCAGAAACGAAAATATGGTTCAATGGCAAATGCAACCGTCACAAATACAAATACAAATACAGGAAATAGTGTTTCATCAGCGAGGATATTAGAAGATGAAGTGGGATTTGGGGATGTTGGAGCTGGTCCTGGAGGACAACAGCATTCAATTTCGTTTAGCAATATGGAGAAAAAGAGAACAAGTACGTTACTATCGGATATTTCATCCATTGGAAGAATGGCGAGTGATTTCCCGGATACTTCGAAATACAACATCTCATCAAATACACAAGATTTCTCTGGATATAAAAAAGACATGATTCTTTCGAAGATAGATTCAATTGGGAATAAATTATCGCGAGAAAAGATTAGAGTGTTCAATATATATTTTGAAGATCAGGAAGGGATCTTGGTGGTGAATCGAAATACAAAAGAATGTCGAGTATTTGTGCATAAACAGTCAATTAATCGACTTTTGGTGGCATACAAGGCAGAGTGTCTAGATTGTATTCCATTGGTTTCTGACACATTTGAAGGGATAGTGGTCATGTTAACTACAGAGAAGAAATTGAGCTTGGTGAATCCATTTCTAGATATGGCTTCAGCTAAACATGATGGAGAAGATGTCGAATCTATTTTATGTTCATGTGAAGAAAAACTTGCTATTCAGACCAAGAGTGGGAAAACAAAGTTAATTCATTTAGTCCTTCAACCAAGTTCAAATTTAGTTCTTACTTGTTTAAAATGTTTCCAATATTTATCTGGTTCAAAAATAAATCAAACGATTTGGATGCTTTGGCGAGCAGCATATTCATTAGATCATCATCGTGATGAATGGAATTCTTTTGTGATTGCCCTATTATCATTAATATATCCATTTTATAAATGCAGTGTTGAATGCGGAGTCCAAAATGAAATCACTATGCTTTTGCCGCAAGCCAAATACCTCCAAGAATCGTCAAATATAAACTATCTGTTATCTGATCTTGTCCCGCACATTGTCGGTTCATTACATCTATTAAGAGAAGAATTTCGATTAGACTCAACCAAGAAAAACTCCCTACATAAATTAAACATCCTCCTAGCTCAATTAACCACCTGGATGGGTTGGCCAGACGTATGGACCCAATATTACGGCATAAACCCATCCACAATCGATCTGACCACCAAATTCCTACTGGCACTCATCGCACCCAATCCACCTAATCTATTAGAATCCTTAACCAGTCTCTTCGACTCCAAAATCGTAGGATACGTCACGTTTTCCCAATTAGTTTCCGAAACTGACTCAGTTGATGCCTTGATCACGCCACGAACTCATCAAATTTTGAAATTGTTTGAAGTTTTGGTCTTGTCTGATAATCGATATTATGGCCCTAATACAATTGTTGAATTGATGTGTGAATTTGGAATCCGGGAATGTGATTTAGAAACTTATCCACTTGGGATTTCGGTGCCTTTGAAAGAGGCATTACTGATTGCACAAGAAAATCCAGCATTTCAATGGACTGAGAATGCTTTGGAATTGGTTGGACGGGAGGATTTGATTATGTTGTTATCGAACAATAGGAAGAATAGGAATGGTTATGGGGATAGATCCGAGGAAGGTGGTGGAGGTGTAGGAGGTGTAGGTGGTGGTGCTGCAGGGGTGCATAGTATTGAAAGTTTGTTATCTAATGTGTTTGAAAAGGATGAATCGTTTTCTCCATGGGATGGACAATCGGAAGCTGATAGGATTGGAATCACGAAACTTATATTTGATTTTGATAGACGATATTTCGAAATCACAACATTATTACATCAAACCAAAACTCAAACTGCAAGTTTAGATGTGGGTGAGAATATCACCGAATATGATCTTGTGTTATTACAACGTGAATTAGCGGTGATTGTTGCCTTACGTACTTTGACTATCCCCTTGGGGAGAGCACCATTATTTTATGCGGGACGGAAACCATTATTGACTGAAAAATTCCCCATTCCTAAGTTTAATCTAAATACATTAATTCAGCCCACAATGACAAATATCATATTTTCAGAAGATAGCATTTCTCAAAATTTCACCGAATGGTGTTATTTCCATAATGGAGTCTCATCAGGATTATCAATATCTCAACAAGCAAAAGGGATTTCTGGAAGTTGGATCATTTTCAACAAACCACCCGAACTAAATCCTCAACATGCTGGATTTCTTCTCGGATTAGGATTAAATGGTCATTTAAAAAAATTGGAAGAATGGCATATTTACAACTATCTAGGCCCCAAACATCCTTTGACAAGTGTTGGATTGTTGATCGGGATGGCGGCAAGTATTCGTGGAAGTATGGATAATAAATTAACAAAAGTTCTTTCAGTCCATGCAGTTGCATTATTACCCCAAGGTGCCAATGATTTAAATGTTCCCATAATGGTTCAGACGGCAGGACTTATCGGGATTGGGTTGTTATATTTAGAAACTCAACATCGTAGAATGAGTGAGATTTTATTATCACAAATCTCCCCGGCGGGATTATATCAAAATAATAATGATATAACCGAACAACAACAACAACAACATCAGATTCATGAGGGATATAAATTAGCTGCTGGGATTTCACTTGGATTTGTTAATTTGGGGAAAGGTGATGATTTACGGGGGTTGAATGATACTCATGTTGTAGATAGATTGGTGGGGTTGGCGGTTTCGATGAAGGATTTTCAACCCCTGCAAGAATTGGATAAATCGGCCAGTGGAGCAATTGTGGCATTGGGATTTATGTACATCAAGACTGAGAATGAGGATATTGCTAATAAATTGAAGATACCCGATACAGAACAATTATTGGATTATATTCGACCTGATATGTTATTACTTCGATGTTTGGCGAAGAATTTGATTATGTGGCAAGAAATTGGATGTAGTAAGAAATGGGTTGAATCAGAGATTCCATTTGCTATTTTGGAGAAGTTTGGGAAACGTGATTTAAATGTACTTGATAGTGATCAATTGGTTTATTTTAATTTATTAGGAGGTGCATGTATGTCTATTGCGGTTAAGTATGCTTCGAGTCATGATTTAATTGCAAGGGATACTATAATTTATTATCTTGATAAGATGATGGGGTTAGCATGTTTGACTGCCAATAATTATGATCAAAAGATTGCTTATAATAGTGCTATTAATACTCAAAATTTGTTGGCATTGTGTTGTTCTGTGGTTATGGCAGGTAGTGGAGATTTAGAAGTTTTCAGAAGATTAAGAATTTTATATAATGATACTGGTAAAGGCAAAGGATATGGGAATTATATGGCTATTAATTCAGCATTAGGATTTTTATTTTTAGGAGGTGGACAATATGCATTTAATAATTCTAATTTTGCAATCGCATGTTTGGTTGTATCATTATATCCAATTTTCCCTAATGATAAGAGTGATTATGAAGTTCATTTACAAGCATTGAGACATTTTTGGGCATTGGCTGTTTCACCAAGATGTTTAGTTATACGAGATGTTAAGACGCAGAAACCATGTAAAGTCCCAGTTACTATAACTATGAAGGATAATACCGTTAAAGAAGTATTATCACCATGTTTATTGCCTAATATTGATGATATCTTGACAATAGAGACTGGATCTAGTGATTATTTTAGAATCAAGATTGATTTTGAATTAAATTCTGAATATTTGCAACAATTTAAGAAATCACTCACATTATATGTTAGTAAGAGGAAGAATTATCAATTATTGAATCCCAATATTGGTTCATTATTACAGAATGAAAGCAAAGGATTACAGATTGATAATAAAGAAATGGAAATCAATAGTGATATTGGTAAGATATTAAATTGTCAATTATTTAATCAGATTGATTCATTTGAAAGGAAAATGTTATATTATGAAACTAGTGATTTAACAAAGGGTTCCAATCCTTCTGATGGAGGATTATCAATATTTAGTATAATTGATAATAAATTAGAATTAATGAAGATGGCAAGTGTACCGGAATCAAGAGAAGATCTTTGGAACCTTCGATTATTATTTTCTTATGCCGATAGAAGGTTATTACAGAATGAATTGAATTATGTTTCAATACAATTTATTGAAAAGTTGAAACAAAAATTATATAACTTAGAATAGGAGATGTATAGATATAGAGTAAGTACATATACACATTCAAATCTCGTAATACTGTCCCTGTAAGTAAGTAAGTGTGTGGGGGTGTACAGTCTGTGCATGTGAGTGTGTGTATATAGGAGTAAGACTGATTACCGCAATAAGTTAAAATACTAAGAAATAAGAAAATTGATGAGATCCACACGACCTTTAAATCTTAGTGGTTGGATTTGGTTTCTTTGTAATTAATTCTCACACTACCTTTCTTCCCATTGTGTAATTTTTTAATTTCGTGTGAGTTTTATTTTTTTTATTTTTAAACAATTTAACGTGTTTGAAGAATTTTTTTCCTCATTGATTTGACGATGGAACAAATAATACAAACCGATTCCATTCATACTGTAGATTTACATAGCCATTAATTAAAAAAAAAAAATTAATACACATTAAATCGTAAAACTCATTTTTTATTTTTATTTTTATTTTTAGGGGAATGAAAATTTTAAGAAGATTAACTTTATCTTTTTAATTCAACTAACTTTTGAAAAATTATAATTTTAAATATTTACATATTATCTCCTGACTTTTTATAATAGGTTTATTCATATTAAACAAGTTAAAAAGAATAGGAAGAAGTAGTAGTAGCTGAATTAACAGAAGAAGAAGAAGAAGAAGATAAAGTGCGAACATAACAATTCATCCTCACTCCCCCCAACCATCCCCCCTAAGAAAAACATCCAGTCAAAATATACGACCTTAACTTTATTCCGGAAACAAAGAAAAAAATGGCAATTAGACCTACTCCACTCTCTTGGAAAGCAGCATCTACTGCTACAGCTACAGTTAGACAACTGCTGACAAAAGCAGCATGGAAGGCTAATAATGCAAGTCCATTCATCTTTGGTCCTCAAGGTAGAAATATCACTCAACCTTTGTCAAGAGCTTCTACTATGGCTGAAACAATTCAAGCAGAGTTAGGTCAAACTCAACCTCAGCCACAAGCTCAAGCTCAACAAAAGCGTTATTTTAGTTCTTATTATTATCCATTCCCCAAGATTCCAAGACCTAAAAGAAATGTCTTATATTATTCAACTTGGTCAAAAGGTTCAAAATATATCCCTGGTAGGAAAAGTTTACATTTACCAACTTTAAAGATTTCAAGACGTTCAATTTCAAATGCTAATCAAAAAATTAAACTGAAAACTAAATCTTTACATAAAAGATTCTTTTCAGTTGAAGCTCGTAAAAGAAGACAACAACGTCGTAAATTCATTAAATGGTGGACTATAACTTCTTTAACCGTTGTACTTGGTGGTGTAGCTGCTAGAATAAGATACCAAAGAGGTAAAGAATATGATGAAGAAGACCATCCTACAAATCCATATCGTATTAGACCTCATTCATGGCATTTATATGCTTATTCTACATTACCGTTGAAAACCATTTCAAGATTATGGGGACAAGTTAATTCAATTAATTTACCAGTATGGATAAGAAGTCCATCTTATCGATTATATTCTTTTCTTTTTGGAGTCAATTTAGAAGAAATGGAAAATCCTGATTTAACAAGTTATCCAAATCTTTCTGAATTTTTCTATAGAACTTTAAAACCAGGAGTACGTCCAATTGCTGATACTGATTTAGTTTCACCTGCTGATGGGAAAGTGTTAAAATTCGGTATTATTGAAAATGGAGAAATTGAACAAGTGAAAGGAATGACATATTCTATTGATGCTCTCTTGGGTTTAAATACTGGTAGATTAGCAGCTCCAATTCATTCATGTACTTTTGAACATGATAGTGATGATGAAACTATTGTAAGAAGAGATGAAGAATTTGCCAAAATTAATGGGATTTCTTATTCTTTAGATGATATCGTGGGTGGAGAAAATGAAGATACTTTCCATCTTAATGAATTAACTTATAGAGATGAACATGATGGTACTGCTTTAGGGGAACGTGCATCTATATCAAAAGAATTGGCAGTTGCTGAAGATTTAGCTCCTACTCCATTGGAAAGTTTAAAAATTAGTAAACATAAACAACTTTATTTTGCCGTTATTTATTTAGCACCAGGAGATTATCATCATTTCCATTCTCCAACTAGTTGGGTTACTACCCTTAGACGTCATTTTATTGGAGAATTATTTTCAGTTGCTCCATTTTTCCAAAAGACTTTACAAGGATTATTTGTATTGAATGAAAGAGTTGCATTATTAGGATATTGGAAATATGGATTTTTTTCCATGATTCCAGTAGGTGCTACTAATGTTGGTAGTATCGTGGTGAATTTTGATAAAGATTTAAAGACAAATGATGTTTATGAACATGAAGTTTATCAAAAACAAGGTGGAGGACCAATTAATGAAAATACTCCATTACTAAAGCAAGTTGAAGAAGAAAAAGAATATAATGCAACTGATGTCATAACCGTTACAACTACCGAATTAGAAGAGAAGAAGAAACGGAAAAGATTAAGAAAGAATACCGTGTATGAGGCAACTTATACAAATGCAAGTAGATTATTAGGTGGTTATCCATTAAGTAAAGGTCAAGATATTGGTGGATTTAAATTGGGTTCAACTGTTGTTTTGGTATTTGAAGCTCCTGATAATTTTAAATTCAATTTAAGTGTTGGTCAAAAAGTCAAAGTTGGTCAACCAATTGGTGAGTTTATATAATTAAGAAAGAAAGATATAAAGGAATGAATGAATAAATAGTAGAAGATTGTTGTTTGTTTGTTTGTTTGTTGTTTTTCATTTTGTTATTTATAGTTTTATCACTTTTAGTCATTATTTTTTTTTTAGATTTCAATTCATACAATATATCATAGTTTGATTTTAGAGATTATATACAGAATCTGGTTAGTGCATCTCTATATTGTTGTTTGCTTGTGTGTTTTAAGCATTTAAGCAGCTACTGTAATATAGCTTCTCTTTTCGTTGTTTTGTTGAGACAATTGTTGTCACAGGTCCGGGCCGCGCGTAAAAACAAAACTTTCCATTGGGACATTGTAGTTACTGAGCTCATCTATCAATATTCCAACTCTTAAGTAAAGCCTCTTATCGTTACCGAATATATAAATAAGAGAAATCGTTTGATTTTGAATAAATGGTTCAATATTAAAAATTTGCAACCAAAGATTCGGTAATTAGATCACGTGACCGGGCTATCGTCAAATGTTTTTTTGTTTTCTTTTTTCTTTTTGCATGAAGAATTCGAAGAATATTTTTTTTTTCTCTTCTGATATTTGAAAGCTAAAGTTGGAAAGTAAACATTTAATAAAACAATACATAAGTGTAACGTGGTAGTGTTTACAGGATTTGGACCAATAGGAACTGTTTTTTAGTAGAGGAAGCAGAAATAGCCACCGTTTTATTTTCATTACATTTATAGAGCAGAATCAACCAATATGTCATTTTTAAACACCATTCGAGGGTTGGGAAGAAGTTCAAAGAAGAACAAAAAGGACTTAGAAACAGTACCTTCACCCGTCTATGGAGGAGCTCCATTAAGGAGGAGTCAGTCCCCAACCAAGGGATCACCTGTGAAACAATCTAGAGGCATACATCAGCAATCACCAAGTAAAAGAAATAGATTAAAATCACCTAATGCTGAACTGCCAATCCAACAACATCAAACACAATCATCACTGCCAAGTATTCATTCACTACAACAATCTGCACGAATGTCACGAAAGGACAGCCAGGACCAACAACAGCAACAACAACCGGTACCATTACCGCTCTTTCTATGTGATCCTTATGTCAAGACTGCACTTGTCAAGGGTTCATTCAAGACGATTGTTCAATTACCAAAATATGTTGATTATGGTGAATGGTTAGCGTTAAATATCTTTGAGTTATTCAATAACCTAAACCGTTTCTATGGAGTCATATCTGAATATGTGACCCCGGAGGCATATCCAACCATGAATGCAGGTCCAAATACAAATTATCTATGGGTTGATGGGACTGGTCAAGCTGTGAATCTACCTGCATGTCAATATATAGACTATGTCATCACTTGGATTTCAAATAAAATAAATGATCAATCAGTATTTCCAACCAAAAGTGGTGGAGCATTCCCACCCAATTTTTTAAAGGACTGTAAGAATATAAGTAGACAAATGTTTAGAATCTTTGCTCATATTTATCATAATCATTTTGATAAGATTGTTCATTTATCTTTAGAAGCTCATTGGAATTCTTTCTTTGCTCATTTTATTTCATTTATTAAAGAATTCAACTTGATTGATAGAAATGAACTTGAACCACTTTTACCTTTGATTGAAAATTTTGAACAACAAGGTAAAATTATATAGACCCATCCAACACCAGTACCAACCTTTTATAATAATTTATATAAAGTAATTAGAATAAATAAATTAAACCCCCATACAATACAAAGAATTGTTTATTTCTTACGCAAAAAACTCTAATATATATACAAATTTTGACCTATTTACAAGAATGCCCTCCCCACGGTGTTTTCTTTAAATTGTTTAAAATACTTCATTGAATCTATGAGAAGAAGTACTGTGATTGTTTAATTTGCTCAAGATCAAATTCACCTCTTTTTGGAACTTCTGGGAACTGAAGAGGAACCAATATTTCCAAACCTCCTGGTTTATGTAAACCATATACATCATCCTTTTCAATAACACTAATAGTTGTTACCATTTTTTTCCCCTTTTCAACTTCAGCAGGATTTTGAGATGCTAATAACCTTTGTCTTTTTTGTTCCATATATAATTCATCAGCAAATGTCACCAGTCTACCTAGTTCTTTATCCCATTTTTTTCTAACTGCTCTAACCTTATTACCAGGTACACTAGTAGGTTTAATAGAAATCCTTTGAAAGTATCCTTTATATCTTGCATCAAATTCTTCTTTAAGATGTTCAACCAAATTTTCACTATGTAATCTCACAAATTGTTCTCTAATCAACCTATTCATAGTATCAACATCACTTGCATGGGTCCAGAATGAATCATGAACAGATGCAAAACTCAACCCTTCTCCAGCACATGCTCTAGCAGTCATCAACATATGAGAAGCATCCAAGGAATGAATATAATTTGGTGGGAATCCACCTTGTTGTTTTTGAGCATCAACTGCACTAGATACCGATGGCGATGCAATACCCATGGTTTGTAATGCAGTACTAATCATTTGTTTTTTAAGAACACGATAAGGTTGGACACAAGGTAATCCTAATGGAGTAGTCCAAATAACTGTCGAACTATGAATTTTATCATCACTTATTTCGTCACTATCTATCTCTACTGCAATTGATTTACTTATTCTTCTTGCTGATTCTGTTAACCAATCTTGAATTTCATGAGCATTTGAGAATAATGCTCGAAGACTACTGAAAACTTGACGGGTAAGATAAGTTGAATGTTTATGATGAGCATCCATTGCTGATTTATCGAAATGCTCCACAAGTTGTTTCTTAATTTGTTCAATTGCACCTATGAAAGTAACACCATAGACATTTGTCATCACTGTTTGTTTAACCACTTTACGTGTGATTTTACCTTGAAGATATTTTGCTTCTTCTTCACCATTAGCCGCACCAACATTAACTCTCTCGTTAACTAAATTTGCCACATATGTATAAACATCTTGGGGTTTATCTGATGGTAATAAATTAACTTGTCTAGCCCCTTCTATATCACCACCCAATGCGGCATAATGTTGAAGCCCATTACAGGAACCATCTTGATGTACAGGTAAATGACAAACATATTTAGTTGGATCATCTAGTTTATATGCTTCATATAATTCAAAACAAACAGATAATGCTTGGAATGGTTTATCAGCTTTTGTCCACCAGGCATCGTTTGCATATGGATCACGAGCAGATGCAAAAACTTTGTCTAAGTTGTCCTTAGTAAATTGTTCACGTTCATCTAATGACACTTTATCAATCCCATATAAATTTGCAAGATGAATCTTTAGCCACCTTAAACCACTTTCACCCAATTGTTTACCATCCCAAAATAAAAATAATGAACGAGTTACATCACTACCTAAATGATTGAAAGTAGGACAAATTGGATATGCTCTACCTCTAAAATCAAGACTATGAGGGAAATACATCTTTTCACCCAAATAACCTCTAGCAGTCTCCAAACGATAATTTTGATCACTTCTCATTGATTTCGCTGTATTGAATTCGTTAATAATGTTTTTGAATAACGCTTTAAAGGCAAATATTTCATCTGGATCAGCATCCTTATCAGGTCTTGGTGGTAACACTGGTTCTCTTATTACTGGAGGAATATCCAAAAACGCCTCTTGAGTATTCCAATAATGAGAAACAACATCATATACTTTTCTATTAACCGTCCATGGAGTATTTCCTAATACATTTAATCCCTTATAGACTTCGTCGAGATTATTTTTCAGTGCAGCTGCTTTGACGTATGCCTTGGTTTCAGGTGAGTCTCTAGTTCTAACTAGATTTACGAATGAACTACAAAATCCTCCTCCCGTTGGTCCTGTCCACGGATTAGGTTTAACTAACATTGGTAAATGTTGAGGCATAACAGTGGCAGAACGATTCTTGTTTGATATAAGTTTCTCAATATCTGGATGGAACTTAATATAACCACTCCCGTGCTTACCATTAAACAGTCTTGAATAAAAAACAGCAGGATGACTATCAAACAATCTTTCACCATTTTTAATTACATTAGTGGTAATTTTGAGTTTACATATTTTCTCAATCATCATACCACCAAGGGTTGCACAAATCAAATTGTTCCAAGGAGGAATCTGTTCAGAAGAAGCCGTTATCAATTTGCCTCTTAAAAACCTCGAAATCTTTAGACCATTTGCAAAACCTTGACCTTGCCTAATTTTTTTTAAGTTTTGAGCATCCTTTTTGGAAAGCAATGAATTACGATATTCAATTTCAATCGCTCTACCAATATGAACACATGCTCGAGTAACCTTCATACCTATAGTACCAGAACTGGCATTTAATTTAAAAAGCTCTAAAACGGAGGCAGCTGCAACTTTTTCTTTTTCAACCAAAAGTAACAATGGAGCATATTGTGAACGATCTACTTCTTTTACAGAAGTTTTAGTAAAATTCGTTTCGAGCTCTTGTTGACAACGTTCATATTCCTCTTCTAAATCTTTACTAAGTTCTATGGTCCATCTATGCAACAACTTGGACATTTCAACCTCTGGGGGGATATATCCTTTCTTTACAGCTTGTTCACTTTCAACCTTCCATTTTTGTTGTGCACCTTCAAGAGCTCTTAGCTCTAACTCATATTGTCTATGCACATTGAATTCTGCTAATGCTTCATCATACGCAGCTCTTTGTTCGTCTGTTTCTAATAGTTTGTACATTTCAAAATAGTTTAAGTTTCCTGATTTGATTAACGCTTTTTTTGAATCGTTTAAATCCCTTATTATTGCTGATAATTTCAACTCAAACAATTTCACTTCTTCCGGATCTGGCCTTAAACCTAATAAAGAATGTCTTACTACATGAAGATTGAAGGAATCAATCTCATGCAACACAGCTGTATCCTTTTCTAAAGCTTCCACTCTACTTTCTATTCCAAAACTACTCCTCTTGGAAACATACTCTTCATAAACAGGCAACAAATCATCAGGTATATGTGAGGGTCCAACACACTTACAGTCAAAGATCTTTTCCAAACAACTTTCAAGAATATCAATATTACGAAGGAGCTTCTTGATTTCTCTTGGATCACGTTTAGAAAAATATGTCTCTAAATCAACATCATCATCTTGGATTCTCTTCTCAAGAAAAATGGCGTCAGTTCTAGCATCCGGCACGAAACCAAGTTCTTGAACAAGGTTGCGTTCCTCATCACGTAATTTTTGCAACTGATATGAACTTGACAAAGCGTGTAAAAACTTATTACACAATGAGTTTAATTCTTCACGATCACCCTTCAACACTTCTGCCAATGACACTAAAAGCCCACGAGACTTTTTGAAATTCCCTTGATATAAATAAGATTCAAAAATTGGTTTCAAATATTCGATTTCTTCTTGAAATGGATTTCTTCTAATATCATCATGAGGTGAACTAAAAAATCCGAATTTTGTTTGATCAGGAGTGATTTTTTTCTTATAGATATTTGTTATATTACTGAAAATACTAGGCTCACGTTTGGATGAAGTGTCTCTACCTTTTAAATCTTCAAGAAGCATCTTGATAGTTTCATTTGTTTCAGTAGTTTCTGGAGATGGAGATGGAGATGGAGATGCAACAGCTGCTACTTCGGAATTATGACGTATTGCCAACCTAAGAACAGATGAGGAACCGTTCCGAAGAGGGAGATGACTCGCTCCTCTTCTTATTATTCCATTCATACGCAACATCCCTACCTTGTATGTATATACCTCTATTAAATATGAAAAATGGATGAATGGTATTTGCAAAATTTGAAAATCAATTTTGCCAAAAAAAAAAAAAAATAAAAAGGAAAAAAAATTGATTTAAAGTAAATGAGATGCGACAGATTTTTTAAACTATGGAAGGTTAATATGCAGGATATACGAATATACAATTTATGACTTTATTCAATACGACAAGTCCGAAATAAATATGTATCCGTTAAAATTCTAATTATATTTATATTATTGTTATAGAAAAGACACTATAGTCAGTATATAGAAACTACCAACTAAAAAGAGTATAAACTTGTATCAACTAACCTGAAATAAGAAATGAAAAAAAAGACAAAAAAACACACACAAAATACATTGTAATATTATAAGTAAATAAAATGGGACGATGATAAACTACAATCCCATTTCAGCTTGTAACGCTTTCAAAGCTTCTCCATCTTCATCCTCTTCTGTCACAGGAGCAGCAGGCACTGTTTTATTAACAGCTGGGAAATCAGGTAATGCTTCTTCCTTTTGTTGACTAACCTTTTGAACTGGTACTTCATGTTTCTCTTGTTCTTCTTGTTCTAATGCCGCTAATTCTTCTTCTAATTCATCTTCATCTATGTATTCTGCACCCACTGGTCTCGATATAGCTTCGGATATCTCATCCGCAAGTTCAACTTGTTCTCTTATTTCTTCCATAGTATCTTCAACTTTATCCACATTATATTCTCCATGCATTTGTTTCATAACCTTAGCACCTTGTTTCATAGCCTTCATAGTTTCCAAGTTGAGGTTAGCTCCTTCAATAGAATCTAATTGAGTAGTTAAAGTTTCAATTTGATTTTCAACTTTAACTAAATTAGTTTCATATCCTTTCTTTCTTTTTAATGCACTTTTAGCTAATGCTGTTTGTTTAGATGCAACATATTTCCGAGCTAATGAATCTTGATCGGCCATTTGTTGCTCTAAATGATCACGTTTCTTTCCTAATGTAAGAATATGTTCACGTAATTCAATTATTGCCTTCTTTGGAGCATCTTTCTTTTGTTGACTATTACCTCCAAATAAATAACTAAACATAGTGACTGTCTGTGAAATATGTGTATGTATATGAAAATATGTAAATAAATTAAAATACTCTAAAAATCTAATAAAATGGTTAGTATTCTAAAGTTGTTGTTGGTTTCTTCCATATCGGCTTATAAGTAAAGAATCGCCTTCCATTGTTTCTTCCAGTATTGCTTTTCTTTAGTACTTGAAAGACTCTTAATATCAGCAAAACTTACAAGCTTTGAGGGGTAACTAAAGATACATACTAGTTGTACTATCAGTATTGTACAGTAAAGTATAGTTTGAACGGTCCTGTTCTTTTAACTAAAGTCGGAGATACAAAACCTCCAAATAATTCCACATTTTCTTTTGGCCTTTTCTTTTTTCTATTGCGAAATCAGAGGCAGAGAGTCAGAGAGAGATTGAGAGATTACAACAAAGGAGATAACAGATATTTACAATTGACCTGAATAGCTTTATCTTAGGCATATACTAGAGCACTTATCAGATCCGGCCTTGACAAAACACCAAATAAGAGATCCCCAGAATGCAAGTGTAATATAGCTTAGTGACAAAGCATTCCAGAAAGTTCGACTCTGTATAACAAATTGTGCAAAATCACACGACCCGGTAACTGAGCCTACCATACACTGTCTATCTGCAATTCAAATGAGTCGATTATCTTAAACTTCCAATTAATTAATTATTAAAGATATATACATATATAAATAGAACCCATGAGTAAACCTCTAACTAACTAATACCCATAAGAAAAAGAAAACAATCAAGACTCCAAATATCTTTAAAAATAACCATCTATTACTTGTAATATGAGCATAATATTTCAATAATTCTCGTTGAGCTCCCGAGATATTCAAATTGATATCTTCAACATTCTCGTCAATTCTTTGAATTTGTTCCCCTTGTTCACTAACCATAGTTGCCAATTGTTGAAACAAATTCCCCACTTCATTAATTGTCGATTCTATAGTTTCAACTGCCCGATTTCTTTGTTGTAAATATTGACCCGATTGTTCTTCCATTAATAACATTTGTTGAGTTTGCTTGGGTAATGATAAATATTCCCCATTTGAATATGGAGATGATATTGGTGGATCAGCATCTGGGTCATATGGTAAAGGTGTATGCAAATTAGAATGCGATGGTGAACTCAAATAAGGGTTCTCATTCAAATTCGATAATGAGGAATTCATAGGAGTAGCATTATTACTTGATCTAATTGTTGGATTGGATAAGAAGTTTTCCGTTCTATTTTTACTCATAATTTCATTCTTTTGTCTAATTTCTAATACATTTTTAAATTCACCAGAAACATTCTTCATTTTTGAATTCAATAAATTCAATACATTTTTACTAAATTGTGAATTTTGAGAATCAATTTGAATTGAATGATCACCTTTAACATATTTTTGTAAATTTTGAATATTTTGTTCAATTTTAAAGATTTCTTGTTTAATCACATAAGTTAATTCACCAATTTCAATTGGTTTATCATCAAATAATGGATTACGTTTAGCTAATAATGCTAATTTACTTAGTAGTTCTGTGGCATGTGATATATCTTTAGCAATAATACTTGCTTGTTGACTAAATTGTGATTTCTTAGGTGGTTGCCTCAGTTGTTGCTGCTGTTGAATGGACTTGTTCTTTTTATTAATCTTGTCATATGTTGAAACACATTGTTGGAATTCTATTGTTCTATTCTGAATTACTACTGACATTACTTCTTACAGGTTAGTTCTTCTTCTTCTGTATAGATGTTTGATATGTAAAGGAAAGGAAGGCGAAATAAATGTAAAAATAGAAAAGAAAACATTCCAAAGTGTAAAAAAAAGGACAACAAAATCCAAAACTCTAATTTCTTTTTATTTTTTCTGTTGTGCCACAAACCGTTTTATATGCAGATCATTCAAATTGACTGCAAATAATCAATTGCCACTAGGAAGTTGATTGCAAAAACCAAATATTTCTATTAATTTCTATATAAAACTAACCTACAGATAATTGCCAATTATTCTCTTGACATATTTCAATCCAATCTATATATATCCTACCATCTTCATTCCTTTTCCATACTTCATTCATAATATCATACATTCTTTTCACATTTGCACATTTATATCCATTAATAATAGTTTCAAATCGTTGTTTCATTTTCAATCTATCTCGTTTGGTATAACATGTAATACCACATATTAACAACAGAAATGATAATGTACTCAACATCTTTGTATCCATCAAAATATCAATACAATTTAATGCATTTAACAGAATAGCTTGCATTTCCATTGAACGCGGAGGAATTTGTCGAATTTGATAATTCATACATAATTGACATGTATACAGATATACTTCAAATAAAGTTAAATGTAATTCAAGTTCAGGTTTATCATTCATAATTGTTTCCATTTGGTTGATGTTGGGTTTACATTGTTCTAATTTATGATGCAAGTATTCATATTGTGCAGTAGCCTCTTGATAAAATTGTAATCTCTCGTCAAGCAAATCACAATCTCCTTCCTCATATTCATCACAATCATCACCTAAGTTCAATTTCATTTCCATTTCCCTTTTCCGTTCTTTTAATCCGGCAGCTACTGAAGATATCTCCCCCAACAACAAAAAAATCGGTTGAATACAACCTTGAAAAGGGTCCAATCCATAATTATCCAACTCCAATATCTTATTCTGATTAAAAATCCGATCATACTCTTTCATAGGAAATATAGTCCCCTTGGAAAATCCTCTTGATGACATAATATCATGAAATTGAACATCAGATATCAACCATTTAATATCATTAGAATAATCAAACATCTCAACTATCCCCAATAATCCACCATTCTTTTGAATCATTTCAATGGCTTTATTAAATAATTTTGGCCATTTTGAAATATCTCCAGCACATATATGTACACCAATCCCAATCAAAAAGAAATTCAATAAGATATAAATATCTTCCGAACTCAATTTTTTATGATTATTAAATCCATTAATTGGATATCGTTCACTTTCTTCCATTAATCGAAATGATTTCTTCATATATGATTTAACTTCATCAGTATATCCTTCGATAAATAATCCTCCCCAGGCAGTTAATAAATACAGAATCGACATGTCTTGTTCAGCAAGTTGATAGAATGTTTTTAGGAAATAATTCGACGAATCAGGCCCAATACATAAATTCCGGGCGACTTTATTAATATATCCATCTAAGAAATATTGCGCCTTGTCGTCCATATATTTGAATGGACTGAAAATATGTGAAATGCTGGGGGATGGAAAAAGGAAATCATAGTTATAATTATCGGTGACTAACATATCAAGATTGGCGGGCATAGGGAAGGAGGAAGAATCAGTGGGGAATTGGAGTGGACTGTGTGTCATTATCATCGCGGAAGAGGAGGATTCCTCGGGTATGGGAATGTTGGAGTTGGATTCGTTATTGGTAGTATCACCTATGGAGCGTGCCATTTCTGTGATTGCTGCAGCTGCGGAACATTCATTTGTTATACTATCACTCATCGATCGCGTCATTGCTGTTGTGGTTATGTAGCTATCAGTATTATCGGTACCTAATGTAGTTGAACAGTTGCTCGATGGTGTACTTATGCTAGGTACTGAAAATGCCCGGGGCTTATTGCTAACAGTTTTAATCTGCTTCTTTCCGCTGTCTGAAGTGATTGAAGTGTGAGTTGGTTTCAGGATTTTAAATTGGGTGCCATTTCTCCAGGTGCATTCAACTTTTCGATGTTTACAAGAGCCACAAACTGGATAACTTTCATCACACTTTTTCCTATATATCAAGATTAGTATTTGCAATTAGACTCATATACAAACAGAAGGGTGGGTGGTATACATACTTTCGCTTTCGACATTGAAGACATCCATTTCTTGATCTTGTTGTTGATCCCAAGATTATGCTCTTTGAATTGAAGCTTTTGGTTGTTGTTGTTTGTGACTGTTGATGTGGCTGAGGTTGTTTTTGTATTGATACATAATCTGTTCCAACATTGGATGATTCAATAGTTTCATTCGAGGTAAGATCGAGTATAAAGAACATTTTTATGTACAGCGGTTATCAACGAAAACTAAAAAGAATAATAAGAATGAATAAGTAGTAGTTGTGATAAAGAAAAAGAAGAAGAAGGAAGTTGGTTGAAGATAAGTAAACTTTTTTATGTGGGGGAAGGAAGAAGTGGCTGACACAAAAAAACTGTCATTGGTGCACCGAATTTGGTGTAAATTTTAAGAAGGAGCGCAAAATTCTTGAACGGCATTAGCCGGAGGAGATTTATTTTTTCCCAATTGTAATTGTTGAGCCTTTATGCCAGTCATCGGAGGGGTCAAACTTTGTTTATGAGATGATGAATCCCCAAAACCCACACAGTATCTAATTTATTAAATTTCCATCTTCATTTAAAGTATCTTATCAGGAAATGGGCATATCGATAAATAACTCGAGATTAATAAATTTCTCGGCAACATCGCATCAAGAAATAAGTCTCTCATAACCTTTGTATAATTAAACCCTAAGAAGTAGCAAGTCGGAGTTAGGCCCCAACATTATAGGACTATTATTTACGTCAAACCCCGAATTAAGGAATTTGGCTATAAATTGACTCCAGTTTTTTCATTTCAGGAACAAATTATTATTATATTACAAATGGTGAACAATATTATAAGCCCTTGAAGAAGAATGTCCCCACCATTGTATCGACATTTCTTTTGAATGTGAAAGAAGGTGACTCATTCGAAAGGCTTTTGGAGCATACAGGTCCGTTTTTTGTTTCAGACGGAAAAGACTAGCGATCTCGAAGATTCCCTTCAGCCTGAGTTTTATTTGTTGGGATGGTAGACACAGTAAACGTACCTTTATGAAACGCTTACGAAGAATATCAGGAAGGACACAAACGCAACTAGGATATGTCAGAATTGGTGAGTTCTACAAGAGTTGGACAACTTTCCTTGAACAAGGATCTGCCTTACCAACTTTCTCCAAAACAGGTTATAATGTGCTTGCCTGTCATCTGTTCTAGTTAGACCCATAGAATTGTGGGGTTGAAAGATATAGGTTAACCTACAGTCATTCTCGAAGAAGGTCAAATCTTTCTGGGGATAACTTTTTCATTGCTCAAATAGTGCTCTATTCGATAAAGCACATTTATTTGACCATAAAGTTGGTACAATGGTTGCAAAAAAAAAGGCTGGTCTCACTGGAAATGTTGGGTATTGATCATTTGACATTAATAGTTTCAATACTCAAGAATCTGTGCTAATTTTAATAAATGATGCATTGCGTACGTGAAATTTTTTTAAACGGACATTCAAGTAGAGATCTAGGAACTGCCCTAAGACGAATGAATCCTGTTTCTTAACGTATTGTGGAGGTTATTTCTGGTTCACTACGAGTCTCCTACGTCAGTTTGCCTGACTTTGGATACAATTTTTCAAACCGTTTGAATTAGCTGCACTGATTAATGGCAAGACCAAGAATGAAAATTCATTCTCTACAATTGTCTGCCTTTTGTAATGTGCAGAGATATAAAACGGTTCCATTCATACAGATGCAATAATCTCGTCCCAATTGGGATAAAATGTAAACAAATTCAAAAATACGTGTACTTTGATCAAAAAAAAAAATTAATTGTAAACAAAAAAAAAACACACACTACAGATTTTCTCATAGTTTTTTTGTATAGGTGAGATTTTCTAAAGGGTGAAATCTGTTTTTTGCTTTGTTTTTCTTTTAATTTTCTTTACAAAAAAAGTGACGATCTTTTTTAACCTTTCTTCCACATCAATCCCTTTTTAATTACTTTCACATCATCAATTTAAATATATAAAGAGATCACATACTGATATCACTATACAATGAGAGAAATTGTATGTATTTCCATTGATCATATTACGAAGACAAACTAGTTTGCATTGCTTTGTGGACAACTCAAGGGAGAGGATCAAGATTTTTGACAACCAATACGCGCCGTTTTTGAAATTAATAAACAAATCATCATTACAACCAAATTTATATCCAAGAATTCCCATATAGTAGTCTACAAGTATTGAAAGAGAGATAAACAGAATTGTTAATACTAACTTAAACTTATAGATCCATTTATCTACTGGTCAATGTGGTAACCAAATTGTATGTATATTTTCCATTGTGTTTTTTTTTTTTACATGTTGATTCAGAAATTTTCGTCTGTTTTTGACAAAAAAGTGTGAGATTTATTTTTTGTTACAATATCCACTACCCTATCATCAACAGATAGACACACTGATTTCATGTATTGTTTAATTAATGTAATACTAACAAGTTTCAATTATAGGGTGCTGCCTTTTGGGAAACTATCTGTGCCGAACATGGTTTAGACAATAGCGGTAATTTACAAGGTGCTAATGAAATTCAAAAAGCTAAATTGGATGTTTATTTTAGTGAAGCAACTTCAGGTAAATATGTTCCACGTGCGGTTTTAGTTGATTTAGAACCAGGTACTATTGACAATGTTAAATCATCTTCAATTGGTAATTTATTCAGACCTGATAATTATATTTTTGGTCAAAGTTCAGCAGGTAATGTTTGGGCTAAAGGTCATTATACTGAAGGTGCAGAATTAGTTGAATCTGTTCTTGAAGTTGTCAGAAGAGAAGCCGAAGGATGTGATTCTATACAAGGTTTCCAAATTACTCATTCTTTAGGTGGTGGGACCGGTTCTGGTATGGGTACCTTATTAATCTCTAAAATTAGAGAAGAATTCCCTGATAGAATGATGGCTACTTTCTCAGTTGTTCCATCTCCAAAAGTTTCTGATACAGTTATTGAACCATATAATGCCACTTTATCCGTACATCAATTAGTTGAAAATGCCGATGAAACTTTCTGTATTGATAATGAAGCTTTATATAACATTTGTCAAAAAACTTTGAAATTACCACAACCATCTTATGCTGAATTAAATAATTTAGTTTCTTCAGTTATGTCAGGTGTTACCACTTCTTTACGTTATCCAGGTCAATTAAATTCCGATTTAAGAAAATTGGCTGTTAATTTAGTTCCATTCCCAAGATTACATTTCTTTATGGTTGGTTATGCTCCATTAACTTCAATTGGTTCTAAATCTTTCAGATCTGTCACTGTTCCAGAATTAACTCAACAAATGTTTGACGCTAAGAATATGATGGCTGCTTCTAACCCAAGTAATGGTCGTTACTTAACCGTAGCTGCTTTCTTTAGAGGTAAAGTTTCCGTCAAAGAAGTTGATGATGAAATGCAAAAGGTTCAAACTAAGAATGCTGCTTATTTCGTTGAATGGATTCCAAATAATGTTCAAACTGCTGTTTGTTCCGTTGCTCCAAAAGATTTAGATATGTCTGCCACTTTTATTGGTAATTCTACTTCTATTCAAGAATTATTCAAGAGAGTTGGTGATCAATTCAGTGCTATGTTTAGAAGAAAGGCTTTCTTGCATTGGTATACTTCTGAAGGTATGGATGAAATGGAATTCAGTGAAGCCGAATCTAATATGAATGATTTAGTTAGTGAATATCAACAATATCAAGAAGCAACTGTTGACGAAGAAGAAGAATTGGAATATGCTGATGATGTTCCATTGGAAGAACAAATGGAATAGATATAAAAGAAATAGAAATTGTGGCTGTTCATATATATTTTTGTTTTCATCTTCCTACAACCCCCCCTTCCTTTTTTGTTAACTTGTTCATGATGATTGGTTTTGCCTTTTAGTTGTTTATTTTTGCTTCTTCACTCAATATAATTTTATACCCCAATATTTTTCAACTTGTCCAATTTTTTGCATCCAAAAAAGTTACACATATTATTATTATTAGATTTTTATAACAATGTGTAACTTATACCAAAAGAGGGATGTGTAAAAGTCAATAGTTGATAAGTTATTTTTTTTATCTCTATATATAATGTCTCTTCTACTTTAATATAAAAGGTGGTTTAATTATTTTTTACTTATTAATTCGAATTGAAATAAAATTTATATTAATGTTATACAAATAAATAAAAAAAAACGGCCATTTTTAACTAAACTGGTTCACCCGTAGTGTTATCAACCACTCCTAACTGTGGTAGTATCTACAACTCAATCCCTATAGATTGAACCATCATGACGATCATTCCTCGTTATGCAAAATATGTTCAAATTGAACACAACCAACAACTCACCCGTCCCATCTGCTATCGGTTGTCACTCTCTCTCATGTCTCCCACTTAATTCCCTCTCAAGAAATTCTTCACGAAATCATTCTTATCAACAACATTATAAGAATTTTGTTCATCAAAATATCTCATAACATGACATTGTTGTTTCCAAAAATTAATAATCTCTTGAAATTCCATTTGTCCCTTCATATATAACACATTTCCAACATCTAAATTAGTCACAAATCTTTGTCTTTCAAATTCTTGTCTAATCTTAGTCTTAATATTTGAAACTGGCATATCTAATTCATAAAGATCAGAAAATGTTTTGGCATTTCTTATGTATCTACGATATAAATGTAAGACTCTTTTACGTAATTCAGCTTGGGTGGCTGAACGATGGGTGGTTTCTGCGAATTGAGTTGCTAATGTCATTGTTTGTCTCCCGTGTCTATAAATATATGTGTCCTATTGTACTTCTTTAAGGGGTTGGTGGTGGGTCCAGGTTGAAAATTGTAGATTCTGAATTTTTTTTCCGGTACTGTAATTTTGACCAAAAGACGATGTTTGGTTGGTTGTGATTATATACAGGAATTTTCACCAATGCGAGTGTTGCACATTTTGGTAAGCAAAAAATAATTATGAAAGATGGTTGCAAATCTTGCAAATAGAGTCAGGGGTAAATTGCTGTATCTTTTATTAAGTGTCTATTTAAGTTCAACTTTTATCTGTCCAAGAAATTGTCCACTTGGTTCTAATAATTTGATAAATCTACATAATTCAAAACACCAATCCCATTTTCCTGATTTATCAAGCATTTTCATAATTTTCAAAATCACTTCTTTATCATCAGCACTCAATTGATCCTTTCTCTCATCATAAGCTTCTTCATCTTCTTCACCTTCACGTTTGAAGTTAAGATATATAATAAGATAATTATAACATAATTCAACATTGTCTATATCAATTAATCGTTTCATAAACTTAGCAGGTGATGTTTCCAATACATCAAAGAATTTATTCCAATAATTAACTTCAATCTTTCTTAAACAATTAATATAAATATATTCTGAATTTTCAGTAAATTCAATCAATTGGCAAAGTCTTTTTAAAGTTAATGACTCGTCACTAATGGTTAAATATTTGAATAATAGTAATTCTAAACAATAATGAAAATTTTTAAATTGTCGATATTTGTTAAATGAACTTTCTAAATCTCCTTTATTCAATAAATCAAATTCAATAAAATTATTTAAAATCAATTTATGAGATATTTTATTCTTAATAATTAATCCGCCTACATTAGCTTTTGATATTGTTAAATTTTCCAATCCAATTAAATCTAATGACTTATATGAATTATCACTATCTAAAATTATATCAAACTTAAGTGGTTGAATCCCATCACTGTCAATAATAATAGGCTGAAGTTCTTGAAGGTCTTCATCGGATAATAAATCATGAGGATCAATATTATTAGCAATCAGTTTATTGCCAATTGCGGTAGATCTTGCATTTTGTAATAATTGATCAACTTCATAAATCAAAATGTTCTCACCATTGAATAAATAAATAAATTCCAAATATGAAGATTCATTAAATTTAATCGATTTGAATTTAAAATATTCAATTGTTGAATTTATCTTAATTAAATCATACATATTTGTTGATTTTCCTGAATGACCCGAACTATTACTTATAACGGATCCTGATCTTCCTGTTTGGTTCTTCAACAAATAGAAATCACCAGTCTTTAACAAAAACAAAAAATGTCGATTATTGAGTACACTAATTTGACTAACATCATCAAGTGGTAATTTATGTTTAATTGAAGAAAGATGCACTGTTTTCTTCACGGAGATATAAATCTTATAATGCTTTGATTCTCCAGTTTTCGATGATTTGGCGACCTTTTCAGTATCCAATTCAAGTACAATCAATCTATAATCACTAGTAAGAATGACTATATAAGCAACTGGCTCATCGTCATTATTCATAATCTGGATATCAAGAAACGTACTTTTGAAATCATATTTCCATAGTAATGAATCACTATTAAAACTAATATCTTCCCCTCCAACACCATATCGTGTTCCAGTCGTATCAAATACAATAAATTCATCAACTAAGTGGTCAGTCCCGTTACTTTCTAGATTTTCTTCTTCAACTTCAGTAAACACATGCTTGGATCTTCTATTCACAACTAATAGATAATCTTTAAACCAGAAATGATTGATTATATTCATAGAATCGGCGAAATAACTTTTGAAATTAAACCAAAGAATATGATTCACCTTGTTATCACCGGAACAATATGGAGTGGAAATGGCTAAATGATCGCCATAACTTATTGATATTTGATTGAAATCACTTCTTGCTAATGAAAATTTCCCAATCTGACTTTTGATTGATTTATTAAAGTGACCATTAAAGTGTTCTTGATTTTGTAAGATTTTTTTAAATTTCGGTAGGATAGGGTATCGGATTATATTTTTGTTATTTTGGATAATGCTAAGATATTCATTATCATATAATAAACATCGTTGAGAATCATTGACACCAGATAATAAGTTGACATAAAAAAGTTTAGTCTTATCTTCACTTAGAATGTATAAGTTCATTCCATTTCCTGAAATGACTATTGTAGAAGCAGTCAAAAACATTTTATTCTCCTCGACATTTTCATCAATTTCATGAAGTATATCTTCACTTTTAAATGTTGCATTTCCAAATTTCGAAACTAACTTCCAGTGACCAGTAGATTTATCTACTACTATAAAGAATTTTCCACATGAAGACCAAGTCAATCCTATCTCTTCCGGTAAATTTGTATCCATATCCTTTAAAAATTCAATCAATTGATTTTCAAACTTGAATAATTTCAATACACTATCTTGTCTCACAAGAAACAAGTTAGATCCAGGATTAAACCAAATTTGAAATGTTTTTGCGTCAGTTATTGGAATGACTGCTTGTAATTTATGACCGTTGGTAACCATTTCTCCATCGCTGTCGTGTCCGATTGACATATACCATAATTCGTGCTTTTCATTCAAGAATATGAAATAATTAAAAAATGAATTATAATTTATATAAACAATCATCGAATCTTTATGATGCTCATACCAACTAAACTCAGACAATTGATATAATTCATTCTTAAAACTACGAATGTTAACCAATTGGAAATAATCATCTTTAACATCAGGATGATTTTCATCTTTGTTATTGAAAATTATCAAAGTATGTGAATTTTGTTCTAACCAATATCGTTCTAATCCAATTCCTATTTTCAATATTTGGAAAATTGATAACTTGACATAATCAATAGTATAATTCCCTAATTCATCTTCTAAGGATGAATTATTTATATTTTCAATATTTTCTAAATTAACCAGTAATTCTTCAGTTCCATGAATAATAGATTTAGTTGCTGATTTAATAAAGTTGACTAATGAAAACTTCTCCGATGTGAAACTCAACGGTAGACCACTTTGAATCAATTCATCGTTGTTATTATGCACTTCATAAAGTGATCTATTATAGTTTATAGTACATTGATATATGATTAAGAAATTACTTTCGGTTTGAATGAATAAATTAACAAGATTTAATTTTTGAGATTTGGCAGCATTGACACTAACATGTTTTATTTTGACTCTTAAGTTATATCCATTAGTTTCAATTGAAGTTGAACTTCTAACATGGGAAGTAATCGGTAATAAAGTGAATTGATTAAAAATGAACACACTTGTTCTTGTCAAAATACTTAATAATGGAGTATGGGGGATGTCAATTATTTGAATAATTTCTTCGGATAGGGGAACATCTATCAGAAATTGAGGACACCCATTAATCCAAATCATTTGGAAGTTATATTATTATTGTTGATTCTATTAAAAGCTTTCTTTGCTTCCCAACGGTGATCAACAATATTGTCAATTTGGGGTTGGCTTTTTTTTTGGTTAAATTGAGATCAGAATTTTGACTGTGAGAATTTTTGGCCGAGATAAACTCTATTGTCCGAAATAATAGGGCCAAGATTGTGTAGTCGTTGACTGCGCAAAAGAATACTATTTATCTTCTATCTTCAGCTTGTGGATACCAGCGAGCAAACATTTGAAAGAGGGTTTTTTAGGTTTGCGTAATTACTGAAGGATATTTGGACGAGTGCCTCTATTTTCATGTTATGAATTTTGCAACCAATTTTTTCTCAAGCTAATCAAACTAGGAAGATTTATACATTCTATTTCTATCCCGGTATCATGCCTCTTAAGGACCCCCCACATCTTTACGTCAACCAAACAATGTCATAGTGTCTGAAAGGAAGCAACACTGCCTAATTGATTGACGATCTAGAAGATTATTAGAATTAGATACTATTTTCGTGTGTATGAAAAACAGAAATTACCTACACTATTTCAGCTTATCTTTTTTTTATTTTTTACATATGCTTATCTGGAAGCACTTCAAAAATATGAAAGAGGATTTGAGCTTTACATACCTGCAACCTAAAAGTAGAAGTAGTACTACCTGCCTCTTAGTTGATGGTCGGAAGAAACCCAGAAATGAACGGAGGATATGCCCGATTGTGATTTACAAGAGACACAGATTTCTGAAGAATAAAAGACAACATTGGAACCAAAAAAATACACCACAGTACAGTCAAATATGATTCTATTGTCTTCTCAACAAACGACTTTACTGCACGAATATAGTTCTGAACTTTGACAATTCCAAAAGAGAACACGTTTCTGTTGTCGTTCCCCAGTGGATAGATTCACGAAGGGTCACTACAGGCATTCAGGACTGCGTTATATTTCAGTTTTAATATGTTAATTCCATTTATATTACATCTCACAGTCAATTATAGATCACTTGAAAGTAATTTTGTTACTCAAACTACTATTAAAGTTCGTGCTTGTGATGTTAAAAGAGAATGGTTGCAAAAAACCAAAATCGAAAAACCTGTTTGCAAGCCATATTTTCCTGCATATAATGATTCGGGCCGGCGAATCGGACCATATTCCGAAGTCCAAAAACTAACAGATACGGGCGTGTGGTCTAGTGGTATGATTCTCGCTTTGGGCGACGACTTGGAAACAAGTTGACTAACAAGCATGCGAGAGGCCCTGGGTTCAATTCCCAGCTCGCCCCTTTTTTGCAACTTCTATAAACTGTTTATGGAATTTTTTGAAGTTAAACAAAGTTATTAATCTCAATTGACTGCAAACGTAATTACAATTCTACATTTAATATAAACTGAATCTTAATTTTTTTTAACCTAATTTTTTATATTTTCGTTATGTGTATGTATTAAAAAAGTTAAATAGAAAATATTAAAACCTAATATAAACTCATGAAAACTATGTAGGTACTAATGTAACAAGGGTGGGAAAATGGATAATAATATAACAAAAGATAACTTTCTTAACGGTAAGATTTTTGGAATCTGGCTCTGGCACCACGACCACCGAACTTCTTTGGTTCCATTCTTCTGGAATCAGCAACTAATAAGGTCTTGTCGTAAGAAGCGAAGATCTTCTTTAATTCGTTCTTAGAAGCTTCATCAACGAATTTTTGATGGTATGAAACTAAACCCTTAGCAATGGCTTGTCTGATAGCGTAGACTTGAGAGACGTGACCACCACCAGTGACCTTAACTCTAATGTCAATATTTTGGAATTTGTCTAAACCGACTAAGGTTAATGGTTCGTAAACTTTGAATCTTAAGATTTCTGGTTGAACTAAAGTGATTGGGGAACCGTTAATTTTGATTAAACCCTTACCGGCCTTAACGTGGGCAACGGCAGTAGCGGTCTTCTTCTTACCAAAGGTCTAAAATAATATGTTAGTATTTAAGTTGAGCTTAGGATGGGGTTAACGGGGAACAAATATGCTCAGATTTTCAGATATCCATGCTTGCGTACATTCAATATTTATATTCTTTAGTAGTGTGACATCTAGTAGTCGTGGTTGAATACGATTGATACTAGAACTAGATTTGTTTCAATCTGAATTTTTCAACTAAGACATCCTTAAATATGAAGATTACGTTCTGCGATTTTGAAGCGTGAAATTGTGATTCATGAAGTAGATATATTGTAGTTGGTTATTAATTATGAAATAAGTATAGTTGTCGTTTATATTGTGATGTATGTCTTCATTTTTCACTTTCGCTCTTAACATAGTTGTGGTAGGCATTCTAACATTACTCTCTTTTGATTTAATATACTGCTATGGATCTGAGTCTTAGGTTCCCCCCTTATGTCATGCTATTACATACTTGAACAGATTGGGTAGACATTATGTACTTTGCTGACTGGTTAGTTAAATCTTTCAAATAGTAAAAGAAAATTTTTTTATTCTTTTTGATAGTCTCTTCAGTTGGTGAAGTTTTTCCCAGTGCGACTTTCACTCTCAGTGTACAATACTACTAACAAAATCAATTTTGTCATAGTTAAGGATCCTTAACTATGAGGCCCATAATAAATTTTGTTTTTCCCTCCTGTATATTTTTCACTCTAACCTGCAAACCTGAAAAGATGGCTTAAGCTGTAAAATGGGTTTTCTTAGTGCACCACAGAAAAAATTTGAAGTATTCATGTTTACGCTGACGGGATGAGATGTACGCATGTGCATCTCGTGAAAATTGTGACTGGTTTTTTCATGCTTACACACAGGACAAAATGCAGTTTTGCAATAAGTTTTTTTACAGGTTATCTCTTCCCGTACAATCAATTTCTTTTTTTTCTACTGTGATTTCAATTTGTTAGTGTGCGCGAAAGTTTGTTAGTGAGGGAAGACCAGTCATACTCTCTCACTCATTCTCTCTTACAATCTATCTCGCTCATTGTAAACTTCACTGAAAAATTTTTTTGAAGGTTTTGGTCCTTTGCGTAGAAAAGTTTTTTATAAAAAAATCTTACTTAGTATTACCCTTTCTTTAGACAGTAAGAACATACCTTAACAATGGCTATCTCAAAGAACTTACCATTATTAAAGAACCATTTCAGAAAGCACTGGGAAGAAAGAGTCAGAGTTCACTTTGACCAAGCCGGTAAGAAGGCTTCTAGAAGACAAGCCAGATTAGCTAAGGCTGCCAAGGTTGCTCCAAAGCCAATCGACACCTTAAGACCAGTCGTCAGAGCTCCAACTATCAAATACAACAGAAAAGTCAGAGCTGGTAGAGGTTTCACCTTAGCCGAAATTAAGGCTGTTGGTTTAACTGCCAAATACGCCAGAACTATTGGTATTTCCGTTGACCACAGAAGACAAAACAAGTCTCAAGAAACTTTCGATGCCAACGTTGCCAGATTACAAGAATACAAGTCTAAGTTAGTTATCTTTGACAAGAAGACCAAGGCCGCTGAAGCTGCTGCTTACGAACAAGTTTCTACTTCTGCCACCTTCCCAATTGAACAACCTGCTCCAGAAGCTGGTGTCAGAGCCGTTGAAGTTCCAGAACAATCTGCTTACAGAACCTTAAGATTAGCCAGATCTGACAAGAAATACAGAGGTGTCAGAGAAAAGAGAGCTAAGGAAAAGGCTGAAGCTGAAGCTGAAAAGGCTAAGAAATAAACGAAGACTTGAAGAAGAATGATGCATGAGAAGACTGGGGACTTTATAGGTGCCAAAATATACAACTCCATAATTTAATATATTTTATTCATATATCATATAAATATAATAAAACGGGGATCTAATTTGCTTGGATTTGCCACTTCTCTACGGTTATGTATTTTTTTGAATGTGTTTTGTATTTATTCCTTATAATGGATCAGCGTGTATAATGAATGTATATTTGTATTGAAGTTACCCACTCTTATTTAAACGAAGGAGATTCTACAGACAAGTGATTTACTGGAGATATTTGCAACCATTATTACCTTGTTATGTTGGATGCCTATACTTCCATAATTGCACATGGAAATAGAGATTCTAAGATTCTACGAGAAGATGTAAGATGTCGTCGTGAGATCAGCTTATTAGTGAGATACACACGGCGGTTAGTACCGCACAATGACTACACATGAATCAATTTTTATTATTTTTGTATATTCGAAAAATCCTTTAAAAACCTTTAATAATATTAAAATTTATATAGATTAAGATTACCATCATTGAAATCGTAACATTATTTCTAACATATACCCACAACATCAATAATTTGAATAATCCAACATTTAACTAAAATTACATGGAAAATTGAACTGTAGATCTTAAAACTTTATTATTTCAGATTTCTACGTTTAATCGAATAAACCGAAACCCATATCATCATCAGATTCTTCCTTGGCTTCTTCTTCCTTTTCTTCAGCAGCAGCTTCTTCAGCACCACCAGCAGCGGCACCGGCAGCTGGAGCAGCAGCAGCTGGAGCAGAAGAGAAGTTGAAGAAGAATTCCTTCAAGTCCTTACCTTCGAGAGCCTTGGCGAATAAATCAGCCCAGATACCTTCAACTTCAACGTTAGCCTTTTGGGTTAAAGCTAATAATTTTTCAGAAGTGATTTCAACTTCAGCATCGGCCAAGATTAAGGCAGCGTAGGATAAAGCAGATTCAGTAGACATTCTTGATATTGTTATTGTAACTAGAGATAATCAAATTAAGCTAAGCAGACTATTCCTTAGTTTTGGGTTGTTGATGAAGAGCAATACAAGTTGGTGGTTTCACATAAATTTTTTCAGTATCGCATTGACACTTCGAAGTTGCGAAAACGACTGAAGCGAAAAAAACTGCAAATTATTTGGAGTTTAGGGTTGAGCCCTATTATGGGCACGTGACCTATTTTTTTGATGGGTGCGAAATCTTTGATCGATATCACCAAAACTGCAAAACCAAGCAAAGTTGTACTTTGGGGTAGACACTGGTTCCAATTATACCCTTTTGGTTGAAAACATAGCTCACGAGAATCGTTTGTAGATATTATAGTCTTCGACACATTTGCTATGCAATCTAATTGAGTTGGTTGATAATCCGATTCAATTCAATTCAAGCTTTCGGACGTTCAGCTATGCAATTCACCCAAACTCTTTCCCCAGTAAGTATACCAGGTGATATCGTTTGACTAGTCTACATCTCAATATAATAATTTTTGAACAGCATGTGTAAGTTACATTCACTTTTACGTTTCGAATTTTTTGTTGCAGAAATTGCAAAAATTGCAAAAATTGATGTGTGATAACGAAAAAGAATGAAAGAAGGAACTCGAACATAAGATGATCCTACATGTATAAAATCGATAGCCTAACGAACGTATCTACAGTATCAATGTAGCGGGTACGAACATCACAGGGGTTGAGCTTGATCAGCTTACTTTTGCAGCTAATTTTCTTTCCACCAACGTTCTCCCCGGATATGTTACTTCTTTTAAATGTGGAGCTGGGAACGTTGCAAAAAATATCTGCATCAAACAATGGAGGGAACTTATCTAAATTTCAAAATTATCGCGAATTTAAATATCGCGTTTAAACGAATCGCGCATTGTTTATAAGCAAAACATATAAATTGAAAATATAGAATTACCGAAGAGGTTATAATATAGATTTTTAAAGGTCCTACAAAAATTTGGGTTCTTGTACTTCAAATGACCATCAGAAAATCAAAACAAGAAGGAAACCTCTGCCGCGGATGACAGAAAACAAAAGAAGACAATTATGTATCGGGTTCTCTAAATATATAGGGTTGTAGTTGTGAGTCGCGGTTTCGGCGTTCCTTCTACTAGTATCATTATTGATATATTTAATGTTTCTCTCTCTCTCTCTTAGTGACATCTACAAAAACCCAAACAGCAACATCCCTTGTTACCAGTCGATTTATCTTTTGACGCTGTCTTTTTGATACCTATCACCTTGACTGGAACCATTTTCTAACTAGCTAGAATTTGTCAGTGGCGCCACTTTTTAAACCACGTTCAACCTCTTTTGTGCTCTCAAAAGGCTATTTTTTTTAACGAGCATACTGAAACCAGGACCTCAATTGTTGTTTATTCAACCCAGTAACCATCATCAATTGACTCATTTCAAATGAGTTCGGATAAGGATGATTCAAATGATCATTCCACCATTTAAGTAAAATATTTATTATTTCTTCCGGAAACCTTTTTCTAGTCATACGTTTAGTTGGTGGACTATCCAACTCCCCAACACTTGAAGAATGATCATGACCTGATGAATTATGTGTCATGATTCCATGTCGGATGTCTGGTGGTGGATGACGACCAGCAATAGGATATGAGTTTGCACGAGGATGTATTTGTCCAACTGGAGTTGTGGCGACACCATAGAAGGTAGGTAAGGCAGGTGGTGATAATGGTGACTTTCTACGGTCTTCCTCTTCGCAGGTACTTTGCAATGCCGACCATGGTACCATTGATCTATACTCACGGTCAAGTTTGTCATAGTCTTGCAACGCCATTTTGTCCCGCTTTCTCTCAGTGATTGTTCTGATCGCGGGAACCGTCAAATCTGTGTTCAATAACTCTCTTCGCAATTTTAGGAAGTAGTAGATGAACGCATTTCCACGTGTCGGAACGATTCCTTCGTCTTGCGAGATTAAGCTCCCTCTAATACTAACTATGAACGAAATTATTTCCGGTGTGGAACATTCACCTTTGCCT